TACTGGGGCTCAATGGGCAACTCCTAAAGCGTCTGTGACCGAGGAACCAGCAGAGTCAGCCCACTGCAGTGTCACTGAGGACTGCTGCAGCTGCTGAACAGACACTAGAGAGGCAGCGATGCCTGACAGCAGCAGGGCAGGAACTGGTCACTGCTACAGGCGAAGGAGGAAGAGGCAGCAGGTGGTGCATATGGAGATGGAGAGAGAACCGAGGAGCTCCTGTGATGACTGGGCAGATGAGGGAGGGAAGCAGGCACTGGGGAGGTCCCGGCGGGTGTACGGCACACATGTCACACAGGGAAGCCTCAGAAGTGGAGTCTGGCCTGGACCCTGGGGAACGCAGGCTCAACTTACGAAAGAGTGGAGAACACCACAAGTCCAGAGGACTCACCAGTGCCACCCAGAAGCCCCACGTGTGCAGGGTGATTTGGAAAGGGCCCAAGTTGGGTGTAGGGATGCATGCTGTGCTGTCCCAGGAGGGTGTCTGCACAAGGCCTGGCCCTGGGAAGACTGGTGGGGAGAGTGGGGGGCTCCAGGCCTTCCCAGACCTCATCCTGGCATCCCAGTGCCCTTCCCCCCAGGGCAAGCCACCTCAGCAGGCTCTTTTCTCCCCTATGGCAATAACCTGGTCTCTGGACCTGTAATATTCCCAGCCAGGTGTGGCCACCTATGTATGTCCCACTTCAGGCTGTAATCATGTCCCTCAGACTTTCTGGGCGTTAGAGAAGGAAGTGCCACTTAACCCTGCACCTACTCAGAGCACCCGGCCTCTGAGTTCCAGCAGCCACAGGGAGCCACAGCTCACCACACTGACCATGACCCCTTCCCTCCAACCACAGCCAGGTCCTCCCAGAGAGGTCACCCTGGCACTGTTGTGACAGGCTCTGTGGCCCTCCTGCCTACGAAGAGAAACCCTGCTGTCTGGGAAGGCTTCATCCTACTTAACTGCTGAGCAAAGGTGCTCAGGAAGCATGTGTGGGAAGAAATGAACTCAAGGCTCGTGGACCCCACAACCACGATGCTTTGCTGTCCCTCAGGGCCCCTCAGGGACACAGCTGACAATAATGCTGTGAACTGCCCCAGGGCTCCCTTCTAGACTGTCCTCCCCAGGCTCTACCAGGCTCATGCCTACAACTCCTCCTGCCTCTCTCCTGGCACTTAGCAAGCAACCAGGAATGGCTGAGCCTCTGCAATCACACCTGCAATCTTAACTACTTAGGCTGAAATCTGGAAGTTCTCCATTCAAGTCCAGGTTGGGGAGAAGTTTGCGAACTATTAAGCAAAAAGCAGGGCTGGAGGCATGGTGACAGCCTAATATGCACAAAGCCCTGACTTCAAATGCCCGTGCTGCGGCAAAACAAAACTAAAAACTCACAGGAATTTTTTTTTTTTTTTTTTGGTCCAGTTATGGGGCCTGAACTCTAGGCCTGGCCGCTGTCCCTCAGCTCTTCAGCTCAAGGCTAGCACTTCCAGCTTTTTTCTTTTTGCTTATGTGGTGCTGAGGAATCGAACCCAGGGCCTCAGGCATGCAAGGCAAGTGCTCTACCACTGAGCCACCTTCCCAGCCCTCACAGGAATGTTTAACCACACGTCAGCAGCCAATCTAACTCTATTGTTCTTCTAACTTGGCCTGGGTTGTTGAGTGCTAAACAATAACAGTAAGTATTTATGTTCAGTAATGATTTGTGCATTTGCTTTCCCCCCAACTAACTCAGTAACTAATCTAACCAGATGTTTTGTGAAGGGCAGTTTTCATTCCACACCTCCCATTTCCACTTTCCCTGGACCATTCAGATGCAGAGAAGTGCACTTCTAGGAGCTCCGAACAGCTTTGATTCATGCTTCCCTTTCATGAATTCCAAGAGGGTCAGAAAACACCAAATACATTTTGAGGTAAAAATTTATTTACCCTTCTAGCCACTGATGGCTCACGCTTGTAATTCTAGCTAGTGAGGCTAAGATCTGAGGATCATCGTTCAAAGCAAACCCAAGAAGGAAAGTCTGTGATTCTTATCTCTAACCAGTAAAAAGCAGTGGTTTAAGTGGTAGAGTGCCAGCCTTGAGTCAAAAAGCTAAGGGATAACACCAGGCTCTGAGTTCCTGGGCCAGTTCCAGCACAATTTCTCTTTTTCCTTCTGCTAGTGATGCTGTTTTGTGGCCAGGAGGTGTGATGCTCAGGCCAGCCTGGGTGCCCTAGGGTATGGCCCACACCTCTCATGCTGCATCCGAGGCCTCCGGAGGTAAATGTGGCTAGAGGGCAGTCTCTCTGTGTGGAAGGTCTGTTCCTACAGTTTGCCCTTGCTTGTACCCTGCCAATCACAGTATGGACCACTCACGATTGGCCAGTTGTGGGAGAGTTCTCATTCAGGATGGCCTCATGTTAAAGTTGGGTTTAGGGCATTATAATCTATCTATCTATCTGTCTGTCTGTCTATCTTTTTTTTTTTTTGGCGGTTGTGGGGTCTGAACTCTGGGCCTGGGCACTGTCCCTCAGCTCTTCAGCTCAAGGTTAGTGCTCTACCACTTGAGCCACAGCACCACTTCTGGCTTTTTCTGCTTATGTGGTGTCGAGGAATAGAACTCAGGGCCTCATGCATGCAAGGCAAGCACTCTACCACTGAGCCACCTTCCCAGCCCCGGGCATTATAATATTTTGTTTGTATTAAACCTTTTTAGTATTTGTTTGAGATGTGGTCTCACAGTATTAACTGATTTGTCTTAAACCCTAGTCTCAAGTGAGCCTCCTGCCTAGCCTCGCTAAGTACCTGGGATCACAGATGCGTGCCACTCTGCGAAACCCCATCCTTTTTATTTATTTTTTCCTGTCTATCGTGGGGCCTGAACGACAAAAAAAAAAAAAGATGTACAAGTAATATTCCTGATAAATCAGGACAGAAATCCACTTCTCCAACTAAGTCATTCATTCCATAGAACTATCAGCACTATTCTTTGATTTTGTCAGTGGTGGGGCTTGAACTCTGGGCTTGGGCACTGTCCCTCAGCTCTTCAGCTCAAAGCGAGTGCTTTACCTCTTCTTCAGCTCAAGGCAAGCACTCTCCCTCTTGAGCTATAGCACCACTTCTGGTTTTCAAGTGGTTTATTGGAGATAAGAGTCTCACAGACTTTCCTACCTGGGCTGGCTTTGAACCGAGATCCTCAGATCTCAGTCTCCTGAGCAGATAGGATTACAGGTGTGACCAACCGGTGTCTAGCCCTGAGCTCTTTTATACTCAAAGCTAGCACTTTACCACTGAGCCATAGCTCTATTTTAGGCTTTTTGTTAGATAACTGGAGACGAGAGTCTTATGGACTTTCTTGCATGGCTGGCTTTGATCGATTTTTTTTTTTTTCCTCTTCTAATTTGACTGTCAAAAATCTGGTTAAAATGTTAAGGTCAAATCCAGCAATAGTGCCAGGAGGGAGATTTTGCATCAGATGCCAGCTCACAAAGACTTTAAAGTCCTGGACCGGCATCCCTGGTTCACTTAGCAGGGCAGAGCCCTGAAACGTGTTTCGACAGCACGGAGAGGTTGGCAGCCAGCAGAGATGGGGTGTTTACTGGGCCTTAAGAAGGACAAGGGCAGAAGACAGCCAAGTCAATGGCAAGACTGCTCATCAGAGTGGGTTCCCTTTTGCGCTCTCTCTTCTGGACCTAGGGCACAGGCTCCACTAATGGGAACCAGTGGTTTCCTCTAAAGACACCAGAGATAAACTTGATAAACTCCCCAGGGCTGATCACCCTGTGACCCCCTGGCCCTCAGGGTTGAGAGGCTTCCTAGGGGAAGACAGTCCTACTGGAGAAAGTGAAGCCTAGGCTGAGTGCCCCTCCTCCAAGACCCCGAGACCACATACCACTCAGGGAAAGCACACTGGGGTGGGGGTGGGGCAATTACACACTGAGGCATTATTTTTTTTGTGCTGGTCTTGTGGCTCAAACTCAGGGCTCAGGGACTTTTTGCCTTTTTGCTCAAGGCTAGTGCTCTACCACTTGAGCCATAGCTCCATTTCTGGCTTTTTGCTGGTTAATTACATGAGTCTTATGTACTTTCCTGCCTAGGCTGGCTTTGAACCATGATCCTTGGATCTCAACCTCCTGAGTAGCTAGGATTACAGGTGAGCTACCAGCACCCAACGCATATATGTCTTTAGTTGATGCTTTGGTCTCTCTAGACAGGGTAGCAGTGTTTCTCTTCCCAATTCTGGAGCCGTTACAGGGCACCTTGTCCAAGATACCTCTGCCTTCCTGTGAGGTCTCTTTAGCCTCAGCGCCAAGTCTTTGATACGGATCTGGTATCACCCACAGGCTGTACTCTGCTTTTCCTGTCCTCCAGAGTGGGTGCTGCAGTTCCTTCTGAGAACCCGGGTGCAATGATTTTCTTGTCCCTTCGCTGGCCTGTCAGCGACCTCCTGGCTTTGGCTCTCGTGGCCGGTGGCTTGGTGCTCTTGGGCACAGGTTCAGTGTCACCTCTGCCACACTGTGAAGGTAGTCTGTTCTTAGAGGGCACTTCCCCTGCTTCCCCTGGGTGAGGTGGATCTGAGGAAGCAGATCTGGCACTCTCCCTATCCATATAAAGTCCATGCCAAGTTCCCAGTGACCTTCACATGGCCTGGGCCCTGGGCACCCCCTGCAGGGCCCCAGCCCCTCCGCCCCTCCGCCCAGCACTCAAAGTGAGAACGGAGGTCTCTGGGTGGTCCAGCTCCTGTGAGGCCCTTAAGCCCTAGCACCGTCTAGCATGGCCCTGGACAGTGGCACCTGAGAGCCCTCTGTGCCCAGCTGTACGCTCCAGCGCTAAGCAGGCATCTGGGGCTGGGGCTGCACTGCCTCTTCAGAGCTCAAGGCAGGACCCAGTGTTGATGGGGGCTGAGCTCCCAGGCCTGCCAGCAGGGCCTGGCAGAGATACCACCCAGTAACTGGACCAGGGTTTCCCCTCCAGGAAGGTGTGTAGGAATGCCAGCCCATGCCTGGAGTCCCCTGTGGATGGCAGGCCAGTGACCCAGAGAACAGTTAGAACACAGCGCTTGTTTATTTCCCAGGAAAGAGGTAGAAAGGGGGTGCAGGCAGCCCTGCCTTAACTCTGTGTGCGCGCCTGGGCAGCAGGCCTCACTTCCAGAAGAGCACATTCCAGAAGAGCAGCCAGCAGGGGTACAGGCCCAAGGCCAGCAGTGGGAAGAGCATGGCACCATAGGTGTAGTGCTCCAGCACCCCCTGGGCCAGCGCTGCCAAGAAGAGTTGCCAGCCCTCAGCCAGCGACACTGGTGCCTCTTGCAGTTCCCACCACAGGAACAGGCTGCCCAGGAGTATGGCGGCTGGACTTGTGAGCAGGAGCAGGGCAGCATAGAAGGGCCTGGCAGAGAGACAGCGCTCAGGTAGGTGCTGAGGTGGGGGCCGGGACTGGATGGGTAGGCAAATGGCACTCACCGGGACCCGCTGGGCTTGGTGAGGGCAGCAGCAGGGGCCATGATGGCAGCCAGCAGGAAGCCCAGGGAGAAGTTGGTGAGGGCGATGCAGCCCAGCTGGAGTGCTAGGTAGATCAGGGCCACCAACTTCAGGGCCATCCAGCCCCTGTCTGGGGTCTGTATGCTCAGCACCCTGCAAGGCAAGAAGGTAAGAAGCTTAAGAGGCAGCACAGGAGCCATGGGGGGGGGGGGGGGCAGGGTGCCTGGCCTCGCCTGCCCAGCCTCTTACCAGTGGGTGTTGTGTGGAAGGGCCAAGCCAGCCACATAAACAGCCAACAGCGTCAGCACCACGGCTTCCGCCTCAGCCACCGGGAAGTGTTGGGCAGCCACGTGTTGGCCCAAAACAGGCAGGATGTAGAGGGCCAGGCCCATGGCCTGGGAGATGAGCAGAGGCGCCACAAGTGAGGCCAGCCCCACACCCTGCAGGGAACACAGGCACCTGGATGAGGAACCTAGGGAAGGCCCAAGGACCCTCACCTCTGCCCCTTCCCGCTGAAGCCAAGTGGCAGTAGTAAGGACCCCTGGGGACCCGCAAGCTCAACCCAACAGTAGAAGAGAGTGCCGTCACCTGTGCTGGGGGGAGGGGCGGGCGGGGGCCAGAGGCCCTGCCAGCCTCCTCAGGGCCCACTCCAGCCTCGTGCAGCTGCATCCATAGCTCTAGTGCGTGGCCTGAGTCAAGGACCCGGTAAGAGCTGTGAGGAGATCTGCCCATGGGACCCAGGGCTCACTCATGCTCCCACCCTCAGGACAGGGTGGAGGACCAGCCCAGCCTAGAGTGGAGGGCCCTGGGGCTGGTCAGTGTGGGTTGGAGGATATCTTGAGACCAAGGACCAGGAGCAAGAAGCCGGCCGCGGGCATGTAGAGGCCAATGGAGACGAAGCGGGAGAGCGCAGGCAACAGGTAGAAGAAGAATGACTGGTGCAGGCGCTCCAGGAGGTGGTTGAGCTTGCGGAACATGCCCTCCAGAGCCCTGGCGATCACAGGGAAGGGTCAGCGGAACATGCCCTCCAGAGCCCTGGCGATCACAGGGAAGGTCAGCGGAACATGCCCTCCAGAGCCCTGGCGATCACAGGGAAGGGTCAGCGGAACATGCCCTCCAGAGCCCTGGAGATCACAGGGAAGGTCAGCGTCAGCCATCGCCTTTGCCCCGGGGACACTGCTCCCAGCCAGAAAGGAGGAACCAGAAGCCGGGCGCCGTGGCTCACGCTGTCATCCCAGATACTCAGGAGGCTGCGATCTGAGGATCGCGGTTCAAAGCCAGCTCGGGCAGGAAAGCCTTGAGACTCATCTCCAATAAACCACTAGAAAACGAAGTGGTGCTGTGGCTCAAGTGGTAGGGCACTCGCCTTGAGCTGAAGAGTGCAGGGACAGCACTCAGGCCCAGAGTTCAAGCCCCACGACCGACCAAAAAAAAAAAAAAGGAACCAGAGACACTTACTTTCCCACTGCCACCAAGTCATACTTGTACTGGCGGAAGCTATTGATACCACGCAAGGTCAGAGCCTCTACCCGGTAGCGTAGGAAGAGACCATGGGGGCCGTGAGGGCGGCCAGAGGCCTGCCGAAGAACCATGAGCAGCAGTGTCTGCAGGCTCTGCAGTGGCCCGTCCACCGATGTCCAGTCCTGAGGCTGCAGCTTTGGAGGCATGAAGACAGGATCAGATCAGTGCCTTCCCACGCCCCGCAATCCCAGGCAGGTGGTCCCACCTTGCCCTGAAGTGTGCACAGCAGCCCGCCTTTCTGGCAGAAAGTCTGGAATAGGTTGAGGAGATCAAGGTTGGGCAGCTGCCCGTTGAGTCCTTCCACAGCCACATCGAGGCTGGTGACCACGTCACTGCTCAGCTCCAGGGCCACAGCCGCCTGGATGGAGCCTGCCCGGCCCTGCAGAGGGGAGGACTGCATGCCTGTAGGGCCGAACAGATGAGCACCAGAGGGGGCGCTGGGGAGGACTCCAAACAGATGAGCTCCAGAGGGGGCGCTGGGGAGGACTCCAAACAGATGAGCACCAGAGGGGGCGCTGGGGAGGACTCCAAACAGATGAGCTCCAGAGGGGGCGCTGGGGAGACAGCTGACCCTGACATGAGCACCCACCAGTGACGTTGACGTCGTGGTAAGCTTCAAGCCACGCCTCAGTGCCCAGAAGATCATGCTCTGTCACAAGGAAGATGATATCTTTGGCCCAGTAAATCTGACCTGGAGGTGAGAGGCAGGGTCAGCGGGGCCTGGATCACTGGCCAAACTCTCCTTGGCCAGTGATCTCTGAGCCTCACCTCGGAAATGGGATGCAAGTGCCAACATCAGCCCCACGGCCTGGCTATTGGTAGACTCAGGGCCACAGGGTACCGTGAATACCAGGGACTCGGTGCTGGCGGCACGTGGGGCCCGAAGAATACCATACACATTGGTGCCGGACACCATCTGCAAAAATCATTGTTGGGAAGCCTCAGGGCGGCAATGTCCCAGGGTAGTCGGGCACAGGGTAGTCGGGCACAGGTCTCAAGCCCCTCCCTTACTGTTCCTGGGCACAATGCCTACCACCTGGGACTTCCTCAGGTCATCCCTCCCAAGCCACCCCTCCAGGTGGTGTTCTGTCCCAGGCACCAGCCCCCCTTCAATACATAGCGCTCGTGGGTCTCATCAGGAAAGGGCAGTTTCCGGGAGAAACTCTGCGTGTAGACCTCCAGCCCCACGGACCGCATTGTCCGCTCTAGCCAGGCCACTGGCAGAGCCCTGGGGACACAAGGGCAGCCTCTAGGCAGAGCATCAACGCCTCCCCCCCCAGTCTTCCCGGACCCCCGGCTCTGCCCCAGCCCTCCCGATGCCACCCGACCCCGCAAGCTCGGTCGCTCACCCAGACTTCCTCCGGTGAGCAGCGAAGTCCCGGGCAAAGTTGCGGGCGCGGTCTCCGCCCGTGAACTGCTCCTCCACCATGGTGGAGCCCATGGCGTTCTCCGACATGTACGTGCGCTGCGTCAGCGGCGGGAAGGCCAGCGCCAGGAACCAGGCGATGCCGGCCAAGTAGCTCAACACGCTGCGGAAGGGACGAGGGCTGGAGTGCGGGCGGTGCGGGGCACCGGCCCACCCGTCCCCGCAGCGAGGCCTGAGTGCGACGTGGGACGCGGAGTGAGGGTGGCACGGCATGTGTGTGAGGTGCGGGAACGCGGGGGGGAGGGGGTGCGGCATGTGTGTGCGGTGCGAGGATGCGGGGGGGGGGGGGGGAGGGCGGCGCGGCGTGTGTGTGCGGTGCGGGGATGCGGGGGGGAGGGCGGCGCGGTGCGGGGACGCGGGGGGGGGGGAGGGCGGTGCGGCGTGTGTGTGCGGTGCGGGGATGCGGGGGGGGGGGAGAGGGCGGCGCGGTGTGTGTGTGTACGGTGCGGGGACGCGGGGGGGGGGGGGGGAGGGCGGTGCGGCGTGTGTGTGCGGTGCGGGGATGCGGGGGGGGAGAGGGCGGCGCGGTGTGTGTGTGCGGTGCGGGGACGCGGGGGGGGGGGGAGGGCGGTGCGGCGTGTGTGTGCGGTGCGGGGACGCGGGGGGGGGGGGAGGGCGGCGCGGTGTGTGTGTGTACGGTGCGGGGACGCGGGGGGGGGGGAGGGCGGCGTGTGTGTGTGCGGTGCGGGGATGCGGGGGGGGAGGGCGGCGCGGTGCGGGGACGCGGGGGGGGGGGGAGGGCGGTGCGGCGTGTGTGTGCGGTGCGGGGACGCGGGGGGGGGGAGGGCGGCGCGGTGTGTGTGTGTACGGTGCGGGGACGCGGGGGGGGGGGGAGGGCGGTGCGGCGTGTGTGTACGGTGCGGGGACGCGGGGGGGGGGAGAGGGCGGCGCGGTGTGTGTGTGTACGGTGCGGGGACGCGGGGGGGGGGGCGGTGCGGCGTGTGTGTACGGTGCGGGGATGCGGGGGGGGAGAGGGCGGCGCGGCGTGTGTGTGTGTGCGGTGCGGGGACGCGGGGGGGAGGGCGGCGCGGTGTGTGCGGTGCGGGGACGCGGGGGGGAGGGCGGCGCGGTGTGTGCGGTGCGGGGACGCGGGGGGGAGGGCGGCGTGTGTGTGTGCGGTGCGGGGACGCGGGGGGGAGGGCGGCGCGGTGTGTGCGGTGCGGGGACGCGGGGGGGAGGGCGGCGCGGTGTGTGCGGTGCGGGGACGCGGGGGGGAGGGCGGCGCGGTGTGTGCGGTGCGGGGACGCGAGCGGCCGCCCCGGCCCCGGCCCTCACCAGAGCGGCGCATTGAGACGCAGCACGAGGCGGGCGAGCGCGCGCCGGCGCACCGGGTCCGACAGGAGGCCCATGGCGCGGCGGGCGCTCGGCTCCCGCCGCCGGCGGACCGGGTCCCACGGAGCGGCGACCCGACGCTCGCGGCCGCTGGCGGACCAGGACTCCCCTGCGCTTCCGGCCCCGCCCGCCGCCGCGCAGGCCCAGAACGGTGGCCGCTCGGCGCGCATGCTCAGAACTGGATGCTGGGCGCAGGGGGCGGGGCCGGGAGAGGGGCGCGGGCGGCGGAGGCGGCGGCGCGCAGGGCAGGTGGGTGGAGGAGCCGGGGCGGAGGCGGCGGCGCGCAGGGCAGGTGGGTGGAGGAGCCGGGGCGGAGGCGGCGGCGCGCAGGGCAGGTGGGTGGAGGAGCCGGGGCGGAGGCGGCGGAGGCGGCGGCGCGCAGGGCAGGTGGGTGGAGGAGCCGGGGCGGAGGCGGCGGAGGCGGCGGCGCGCAGGGCAGGTGGGTGGAGGAGCCGGGGCGCGGGCGGCGGCGCGCAGGGCAGGTGGGTGGAGGAGCCGGGGCGGAGGCGGCGGCGCGCAGGGCAGGTGGGTGGAGGAGCCGGGGCGGAGGCGGCGGCGCGCAGGGCAGGTGGGTGGAGGAGCGGGGCGCGGGCGGCGGAGGCGGCGGCGCGCAGGGCAGGTGGGTGGAGGAGCCGGGGCGCGGGCGGCGGAGGCGGCGGCGCGCAGGGCAGGTGGGTGGAGGAGCGGGGCGCGGGCGGCGGCGCGCAGGGCAGGTGGGTGGAGGAGCGGGGCGCGGGCGGGGCGCGCGCCCAGGAGCCCGCTGCGGATGGAGGCTCAGGAGTCGGAAGCCACGGCATTGTTCCTGCCCGCCGCCCAACGCGCACCGAAGTGGAGCCGCTTGGCTGCCGGGTCCAGAAATGACTGCAGGGACTATGACGGAAACGGCCCGGCCCCGGAGTACGGCGTGTGCGGCCCAGCCAGGTCCCTGGCACAGCGAGGGGCAGGACGGGCTCGGCGGCCGCAGAGAAGTCGCTGGAGGCGGAGAGGACAAGAGCCCGCGCTAAGAGGCCGACAAGGGCACTGGCGACTCGGGGGGAGGCATCAGTTCAGTCCATGGGCTCTGCGTCTCCGGTGGTTCCCGGAGCGCGCAAAGCTGCGTCTGAGCTCTAGTCCTTACCCAGCAAACCCCCTACCTTCTTCTTTAGTTTGAATTCTTGGGCTGGTGGCTCTCCCCAGTCACCCCCACTCAGCACCAGGCTGGGCCCTGAAGGCTCTGAGCAAGGGGTATACCATGAGGTGCACTGAGTAGAGAAACAGGCCTTTATTCTGGACAGGGGTGGCTGGGAGCTCAGTCTCCTAACAAGATAGCGGCCTCGCGTACGTGCTGCCGGACCACGCCATCCAGCACCGTGTGCACGTCTCGGGCTGCCCGGGCCGCGGCCTCTAGCACTTGCTCCAGGTGATCTTCATGCAGCCGGGCATCCATTTCAAGCAGAGCAATCTGGCCTGAAGCTGGCAGCAGGGCCAGGGCTAGTTGGGGACCCCCAGCAGCTTCTTCCACATGGCTGAGGTCCGCCAGGGCTGTGCTGTCCACAAATCCTGCTGAGCACGCGCACACAAAGTCCCTCATGGGTATCCCGGCATCCATCACTGCTAGAGTGGCTGCATTCACACAAGCTGCGTAGGTCCCACCATCTGCTTGCAGCACCTACAGGGTGCAAGGCATCAGATTGCCATTCTGCCCTGTGGCACCTCAGCCCACCTTCATACTCTCCAGCCCTTCTCCCTCCTTGGGTTGAGGCTGCTCACCTGCACATAGATGTCAATCTGAGAACGTGGGTGCAGCTGGGTAAGGATAGCTGCTTCGAAGGTCTGACGTAACTGCAGCCCCATCTCGCAGGACTTTCTGTCCCCATGTGGGCGTCGCTTTCGCTCTCCTGTGCTAAAGGTGGCTGAACTATACTGACAGTTCACCAGGGCTCGGTCAGGCAGGGCCCTTGAACGGGAGCCCCGGATCTGGAGGAGAAAAGATGTGAGTCGGGGCTGGGAAGGTGGCTCAGTGGTAGAGCGCTTGCCTTGCATGCCTGAGGCCCTGGGTTCGATTCCTCAGCACCACATAAGCAAAAAAAGCCAGAAGTGGCGCTGTGACTCAAGCGGTAGAGCGCTAGCTTGAGCTGAAGAGCTGAGGGACAGCGCCCAGGCCCCAAGACCAGACCCCCCCCCCCCAAAAATGTGAGTCAGACCTAGCCCTCCTGTCTTACATTCTCCAATCTTAACATGGCTCATCCCACCTCCTTTCTTCCTCAAACACCTCAGAGGCATACTGGAGGGAGGGCCACTTGCCAGTCTAAGCCTCATCACCTCTGACCTGCTTGACTCTTTCTGATTGCTCCATTTCCCCCCCCCCCCAAACTAATCACAGGGTGACCCGAGTGTCCCCTTCATACCTACACTATGCACTCTCCAAATCCTTCCCCCCCCCCCCCCCCAGGCCTACTAAGCCCTAGATTCTTACCTCTGTGTAAACCCCTCAACTGAATTTGGAGCTCCTGCCCTTCTCCCTACTAATAGACTTTCTGCTCTGCACAGATGCCACGCATGTGTCTTCTTTCTACCTAGCTTCTTCCATCTAGAAAGCTACGTTCCCACATTCCTACGTTGGCCAGACACTGTTGAAAGTGCTGAAGATGCGCCACTTTAAGCCGAAATGATTTTTTTTAGGCCCCTATGCTCAAGGAGTGTATGGCCCGGGGAGAAGTCATAGGATGGAATGAAGGGAGTTGACGTCTGAGGTGGTAGGTGCCCACAGGCCAGTTGGCCTGTTGTCGTTGGGGGCGTGGAGACCTGCGGGTGAGGAAGCTGAGCGAGTGCGGGGCCGCCGAGGGGCGGGCGCGTGGACGGCCGGATCGCCGAGCCCGCGCGAGGACCCGGCGCTCAGGCGAGATGCGGTGCTGGGCCCCGGCCGCGCCCGCGGCGCCCACTTGCCTCGTGCGGCCCGTAGACCACCGCCAGCGCCTTGGTGTTGCCCTGCTCGATGTAGGCCGAGCCGTCTGCCTGCGCAAACACGCCCATCCGCGCCTGGATCTTGCGCAGCTCTCCCGCGCGACGTCCGTCCACCCGGTAGCCCTGGTCGGACAGGAGCTCCAGGCCCGCCATACTGCAGCCCGGCTCTTTACTTTCCGGAGACCGCGGGTTCCATACGGCTTCCGGCGGCTCGGACCACTTCCGGCCCGGCCTCTACGGCACCCGACGGCCCGGTCTGGCCCTGTGAACTAGGGTTCCGGCAGCCCGGTCCGTCTTCTCTCCCTTCCGGTTGCGGGGCCCTCTGGCTCTCGGCGGAACCGGCCGGCCGATGGGTGGTTTCCGGCGGCCGGGGCGCAGGGGCTCCGGCTTCCGGCCGTGACGCCGCCGCAGTGGAGGCCGGGCCCGTGGGTTTCCTCGGCCCCGCGCCTCCGCCGCGCCCCCCCCCGCGCCCCCTCCCCGCGCCCCCTCCCCGCGCCCCCCCCGCGTCCCCCGCCGCGCCCCCCCCCGCCGCGCCCCCCCCGCCGCGCCCCCCCCGCGCTCCCCCCCGCGCCTCCGCCGCGCCCCCTCCCCGCGCCCCCCGCCGCGCCCCCTCCCCGCGCCCCCTCCCCGCGCCCCCCGCCGCGCCCCCCCGCGCCCCCCCCCGCGCCCCCTCCCCGCGCCCCCCCCCGCGCCCCCTCCCCGCGCCCCCTCCCCGCGCCCCCCCCGCGCCTCCGCCGCGCCCCCTCCCCGCGCCCCCCGCCGCGCCCCCCCCGCGCCCCCCCCCGCGCCCCCTCCCCGCGCCCCCCCCGCGCCCCCTCCCCGCGCCCCCCGCCGCGCCCCCCCCCCGCGCCCCCCGCCGCGCCCCCCCCCGCCGCGCCCCCCCCCGCGTCCGCTGCGCTTTCCGCCCCGCCGCGCCCCCCCCCCCCCCCGCGTCCGCTGCGCTTTCCGCCCCGCCGCGCCCCCCCCCCCCCCCCGGGCGGAAGCACAGCCGCCGTCTCGCCCGGCCCGGCCGCGTTTTCTGTGTGTTCTGCGCATCGCCGGGTGGAAGCCGCAGGCGCTGCGTTTTCCCGAGCACCGGGACACCCCTTTGGGAACGTTGAGAAAACGCACCGGACTCACATGGACACGTGGAACGGGAAACCCCCGTACAGCCACCGAAAACTCCAAACGGAGCCGGGGTGGGGGTTCTGGAGAAGTCCCAGCCGGCGCCGGCGGCTCGCGCCCGTCACCAGGGCCGAGACCTGAGCTTCGCGGTGCGGAGCCAGCCGGGCTGCAAAGTCCGTGAGACTCTGATCTCTGATGAACCCCAGAAAACAGGACGTGGCGCTGTGGCTCAAGTGGTGGAGCGCTCGCCTTGAGCTGAAGAGCTGAGGGACAGCGCCCAGGCCTGAGTTCAAGCCCCACGACCAATAAAGAATTGGGGCAGAGGCTAAATGTACACATATTCATTAAATAGTCTGGGTTACAGTTGTGACCTGGGTGACCATTGTGGAGAGATTTCAGAGGAACTCAACTCATCACTTGAGGGAGCAATCTGGACATCTGGACAGCTTCATCATTATGAGTAACATGTGTGTGTGTGTCTTGAACTCCGGGCCGTGGTTTCTAGTGTCCCACAGCTTATCACTGGAGGTGGTAACCAGGAGAAGAGTTTCTGGATACAAATTTCTGACTCTTAAGAAGGGAAGAGTGTATTAAGCATAAGCTGTGTTTGTACAAACAATTCCAGCACAGTGAGCCACTCTTCTCTGAATGGTGGAAATCCTTCCAAAACCACCTTCCCAGATTCCAGGCAAGTGTGTGAGCTTGCCTTTGTGGAAGGGCCCTCTAAAGTTGAAAGTAAGACTAACTGGTACTGGGTGCCTCTGGCTCACGCCTGTCATCCTAGCTACTCAGGAGGCTGAGATCTGAGGATCAGGTTCAAAGCCAGCCCAGGCAAGAAAATCTATGAGATTCTTTTTTTTTTGGTCAGTCATGGGTCCTGAACTCTGGGCCTGGGCACTGTCTCACACTCAGCTCTTCAGCTCAAGGCTAGTGCTCTGCCACTTGAGTCACCGCATCACAGCTTTTTTGTGCTTATGTGGTCCTGAGGAATTGAACCCAGAGCTTCATGCATGCAAGGCAAGCATGCTACCACTGAGCCACCTAGCCAGCCCTCTATGAGATTTTTTTTTTTTTTTTTTTTTTTGGGTCCAGTCATGGGGCCTGAACTCTGGGCCTGGGCACTGTCCCTCAGCTCTTCAGCTCAGGGCTAGCGCTCTACCACTTGAGCCACAGCGCCACTTCCGGCTTTTTTCTTTTTTGCTTATGTGGTGCTGAGGAATCGAACCCAGGGCCTCAGGCATGCAAGGCAAGCACTCTACCACTGAGCCACCTTCCCAGCCCCTCTATGAGATTCTTATCTCCAACTAGCCAGCAAAAAGCCAGAAGTAGAGTTGTGGCTCAAGTGGTTGAGTGCCAGCCTTGAGCAAAAAACAAAAAGAAAAACAACAAAAGAACACACTAAAGACAGAGCCAAGGCCCTGAATTCAAGCCCCACCATCAACACCACCCCCACACACACATGGTGAGAGGTATTACACTTGAGAAACTATCCAATGTGTTTCACACATCAGTCTTGTGATCTCAGAGCCTTTTGGGTTTTCTTGGTGAGTCTAGGTTCTCCTTCAATAGCCAACATGAGTCAGTCAGTGTCAGCAGCTTATCCTGGTTCTGCCCTCCTCTATGCAGCAGAAAGAGCAGTTTACACTGATCCTTAGGATATGACTGCTGGGAGCCAGTGGCTCATGCCTGTCATCCTAGCTACTCAGGAGGCTGAGATCTGAGGATCGAGGTCAAATCCAGCCTGGGCAGGAAAGTCCGTGAAACTCTTATCTCCAAGAAACCACCAGAAAACCAGAAGTGGTGCTATAGCTCAAGTGGTAGAGTGCCAGCCTTGAGCTGAAGAGCTGAGGGACAGCGCCCAGGCCTAGAGTTCAAGCCCCACGACCAACCAAAAAAAAAAAATAGGATATGACTTCCCCCAGAATCATGCTTCCCTGGAGCAGATCCACACAGTGGAGGGGAGTGTGTTGCTGGGGGAGAGGCAGCCTTGCTTGTGGTCACTTTACTCTTTCAAATTTTACCAAGTGGGGTGGTGTAATGGCATTTGTGGTCCCAGATATTTAGGAAACTGAGGTGGGAGGGTTACTTGAGTCTCCATATTGCCTGGGCAGTTAGCACGACCCCCTCCCAAACTAAACATATGACCGTGTTGCCAGCACCCCAGCCTGGAAGGAGCTGGTCTGTGCAGTTTCACAGCAGACATGATGCTGAAGCCCAGCTTTCTAGGGCACACAGAAGCATCTTAGCAGACAAGCCCAGCCCAGAAGGGCAAGCCCCTTTAGCAGAGTGTGCCACCATTCTAGTAGGCCACTGAGAATTTGTGAGGAGGGAGCACTAAGTCAAGAGCTCATTGCCACAAGTAAGCCCGAGGGTTTCGTGATGTGCAGTGTTGTCCTGTGGAGGTGAGGTGTTCAGGGACTGAGGTGGAGATGTTTGCAGGCAGGAGGGCAAAGTCACATCCAGAGTAGGTGACAATTCTAACAAAGGTCTTCCTGTCAAGAAGCAAGGGGATGTTGGGCGCCTGTGGCTCATGCCTGTCATGCTAGCTACTCAGGAGGCTGAGACCTGAGGATCGTGGTTCAAAGTCAGCCTGGGCAGGAAAGTCCGTGAAACTCTTATCTCCAATAAACCACCAGAAAACCGGAAGTGGCGCTGTAGCTCAAGTGGTAGAGTGCTCACCTTGAGCTGAAGAGCTAAGGGACAGTGCTCAGGCCCAGAGTTCAAGCCCCATGACCGACAAAAAAAAAAAAAAGCAAGGGGTATGGAGTGGCTGGGCTCTGTTGCTACGGTTGGGTAGGCAGTGAGCCCCCGTGTTACACTTGGATCTGAAATGTCCCTCCTTGGGCGCATGTGTCCACCATTCCCCCCTCCCCTTTCAAGGGCCTGTGTGTGTCCATGGCTCATCCCCAAGGCCTGTGTATGCACAGCTGGCGTGAGGCCTTACACTCAGGCCTTTTACCCCACGACCCCCACTCTTGTCACCTGAACCATGCCTTTCCTGGCTTTTTGCTAGTTAATTGGAGATAAGAATCTTGTGGATTTGGATGTTTAGCTTCAAACTGGGCTCTTTAGATCTCAGACTCCTGAGCAGATGGTGATAGGTGTGAAACAAGCCACTTGGGCTTTTTTTTTTTTTTTTTTTTTGCCAGTCCTGGGGCTTGAACTCTGGGCCTGGGCGCTGTCCCTCAGCTCTTCAGCTCAAGGCTAGCGCTCTTACCACTGGAGCCACAGCGCCACTTCCAGCTTTTTCAGTTTATGTGGTGCTGAGGAATCGAACCCAGGGCCTCATGCTTGCAAGGCAAGCGCTCTACCACTGAGCCACCTTCCCAGCCCGAGGCAAGAGAATCTTGAGTTCAAGGCAAGCCTGAGCTCGGTAGTGAGGTCCTGTCCCCACAGAATAACAACAACAAAAATTCTACTTTTCTAAAAGTTGCAATTTATATTTTAGCCATTGAGTGGCCAAAGGTCATGTTTAAACTTTCTTGCTGATGAGGCTCCTGTCCTTTGCTCTTTATTCTTTTGGTCCTGCCCCCACTTTTTTTTTGTCAGTCCGGGGACTTAATTGAAGGCCTGGGCACTGTCCCTGACCTTTTTGCTCAAAGTTAGCACTCTACCACTTGAGGCACAGTGCCACTTCCAGCTTTCTCTCTGTATGTGGTACCAAGGAATTGAACCCAGGGCTTCATGCATGCTAGGCAAGCGCTCTACCACTAAGCCACATTCCAAGCCCTGTCTTTGCTCTTTATCCTTTATCTGTGTGGCAGGAATGTGTTCCAGTCTGTTGCCCAGTGTCAGGGACTGAGTCATGACTATCTAGGACACCAACTCTGGTGAATCTCATCTTATTTGGCAAAAGGCATCTGGGTAGGCCTTAAGTGTAATCTTTATAAGAGGGAAACAGAGGGGCTGGGAAGGTGGCTCAGTGGTAGAGTGCTTGTCTTGCATGCTTGCGGCCCTGGGTTCCATTCCTCAGCACCACATAAGCAGAAAAAGCTGGATGTGGACCTGTGGCTCAGGTGTTAGGGCACTAGATTTGAGCTGAAGAGCTGAGTGACAGCGCCCAGACCCAGAGTTCAGGCCCCACGACCACCACCACCACCACTAACAACAACAACAAAAAAGAGGGAAACAGGAATTTGATTGCAAAAGAAGAAGCCATGTGACTATACACACAGAGACGAGAGCCAAGAACACTGGCGCCTCCGGGAGGCAGAAAAGGCAGAGGATGAACTCCTGTAATCTCTACAAGGAGCCGTCCTGTTAACCCTTTAGTTCTATTGATCCAGCTCTGACTTGGTAAAGAACAGTAGAATAAATCTATGTCATTTTAAGCATCCACATCTTAACTGCTTGAGACTTAAGTTTTAATAAAGAAAGTATTGGGCCAGGGAGCATGGTTAAGAAGTCTTGGTCAGCTGTGGTCTGGCTAGTTACTATTTCAGGTCTGGTTGTGAAGAAGCCCACATTCTTTACAGGGGTAATTCAGTCCCCATCATGAGATAATTGCTCCTGTTAGTTCTCACTGGGGTAGTTGCTCCTGTTAGGGGACAGTCTGCCATAGGCCAGGGCTTGAGGAGATTTTTCAATCCATGAGGAAACATCCATTACCCTGTTCCCAGTTTCTATGAGTCTTGAATGTGTCTAGTATGTGAGTATTCACTCACTGGGGTTGGGATTATTTCCTAACTATAGAAGCTAAGTTGTAACTGCTGCACTTGTAATGAATGCAGCAGTGCCTCGCGTAGGTCAGCTCTCAGGCTCAGCGCTTCTCCACCGCTCCCGATCACCACAGGACAGGACACACCAGGGTTTGTCCCCTGGAATTCCAGAGTGGAAATCATACTCATCAAGCAAGCAAAAAGGAAATGATGGTGTCAAGTAAGTAATTGTAATATGACTACAAAACAAGACAACTGCACAGAAGGATAAGCTGGGCGATTCTTTCTTTTTTGTTGGTCGTGGGGCCTGAACTCTGGGCCTGGGCGCTGTCCCTGTGCTCTTCAGCTCAAGGCGAGCGTTCTACCCCTTGAGCCACAGCGCCACTTCCATTTTTTTTTTCTTCTAGTGGTTTATTGGAGATACAAGTCTCATGGACTTTCCTGCTCGGGCTGGCTTTGAACTGTAATCCTCAGATCTCAAGCTCCTGAGCAGCTAGGATGACAGGTGTGAGCCACCGTGCTTGCCTTCTGTGAGATTATTTTTTTTTTTTTGGTCCAGTCTTGGGGCCTGAACTCTGGGCCTGGGCGCTGTCCCTCAGCTCTTCAGCTCAAGGCTAGTGCTCTACCACTTGAGCCACAGTGCCACTTCCGGCTTTTTTCTTTTTGCTTATGTGGTGCTGAGGAATCGAACCCAGGGCCTTGAGCATGCAAGGCAAGCACTCTACCACTGAGCCACCTTCCCAGCCCTTCTGTGAGATTGTTATCTCCAATCAACCATCAGAAACCAGAAATGGTGCTGTGGCTCATGTTGAAAGAGCCCAAAGACAGCACCCAGGCCCAGCGATGGAGCCCCAAGTCCAACAACAACAACAACAAAAAGATAGCAGATAAAAAGAAGTCCTTCACATGATCTGAACCACAGACCCACGGTCCTCCAGCGCCCTTGCCTTGATGGTGCTCCTTCCTGATCATCTCCTTGCTCACCCCGGCCTGTCCCGCCATGGATGCCCAGCTCCTGCTGCTGCTGGGTGAGAAATGCCCTCGTCTTTTCAGGGGCTGTGCAACACTGACTGCCCCAAGTTGTGCAGACTCACGGCCTGGCATGGGGCTGCATGGCGGCTGCCAGTGGGTGCCAGGTAGATGCTGGGTATGCTTGAGTCCCACACTCCTCTGGTAGCACACCTGAGCCAGGCTGGGACAGAGAAGGTTTGTGTCCATGAGGGGCTTCCAGAAGGGAACAGAGGCTTGGGCCCGAATGGAGGGCCAGAAGTGAGGGATGGCTGGGCTGTGGCGGAGGGATGGCTGGGCCGCAGGCCTGAAGCCCCAGAATGCAGGGGTGGGGCAGCGCTGACCTCACAATGGCGGAACTGCCCCCCCCCCCCCCCCCCGGCCAGTATACCAGCCACGAAGTAGCTGCTACCACGTTCTGTTGGCCATGTCCCTTCTTAGCAGCTATGAGGGCCTGCGGCAGGAGATTCAGCGGCTGGCACAGGAGAATGAGGAGCTACGGCGGCTGGTACAGCTTATCCAGGAGAACCAGGAACTGAAGCTGGTCCTCCGGAGCAGGGGCAGTGGCCTGGGCTTCTGCAGCTCAGGCTTTCTGGCGGAGGTCACCGGAGGCACCCGGGTGCCCAGGCGCAAGACAATTAAATTCAAGGATGCTGATAGAGGTGAGCCTCAGCCAAGGCCTCGGGTGCTGGCAGCCAAGATGGAGAAGTGTGTGTGGGGGGGTCTTTCAGGAAGCCCTTACTGCAGGGAGGAGGTGACAGCTCTACGTAGTGATGTCTGAGCGGAGCTGCAGAAAAGGAAGAGAATGGTGTGGCTGGGGTTGGCTTTCTAGGCCAAGAGAACAGATGGTGTGGAGGCCTTGACTTGGCAGCCATTTGTTTTTAAGACTGATAAAGAAGGTGAGGGAGGCGGGACAGGAGAGCCTTTCAGGGCAGAGAGCTGGAGGTTAGGCTGCCCCCTGCTCTGTGTTCCCTGGACTTTAAGATTGGCAGGGAAACTGCCCCACATCTGAGAGCTCACGCCTGTCATCCTAGCTACTCAGGAGGCTGAGACCTGAGGATCACAATTCAAAGCCAGTCCAGGCAGGAAAGTCCATGAGACTTTCATCTCCAATAAACCACTTAGAAAACCAGAAGTGGTGCTGTGGTTAAATGGTAGAGCGCTAGCCTTGAGCTGAAGAGCTGAGGGACAGCGCCCAGACCCAGAGTTCAAGGCCCACCTCTCACCTCTCCCCCCAAAAAAAAGATGGGGCAGGGAACAGCCCAGCCCCATTCCTAGAGAGAAGGGACTGAAAGTTGGCCAAGGTGAAGCCGTAAACCTCAGGCAGGTTCTGGAAACACACACACACACACACACACACACACTTACATAGTTGAAGTGGCAGGGCCAAGGCCAGCTGGATGCCCTCCAGATGAGAAAGAGTGGGAGGCCTGGGTGGCTTTGCCCTGAGAGGGGAAGTTGCCCTTGAGCTTTGGAAAGGCCTTCCATCCAGAGCCTGGGGTACTGGAGCAGGCAGCTGGCAGGGCCTGTGAGACCTGGCACCTCCTTCCCTCCCTTGAGCTCCCAGAGGAGTGCAGCACAGAGGGAGCTAGGCATTCCTACACTCAGGGGCAGAGGTGACCACGTGAGGCCGGCGGAGGAGGCAGACTGGGAGCAGCCAGCAGGGATCTGTGCTCTGCAGCTTTGGTGCCTTGTGGTCAGTCAGGTTGCTATGAAGCTAGTGCAAGTGCAGGTAGACATCTGGAAGGGGGCGTGGCCTCATGAGGGGGAGAGGGCCAGCTAGGCTATTGCTGGGGGGACAAGACCTAGAATGCTCTGACCTCACTGGAACTACACCTGGGGCAAAGACTGGAGATGGAGAGGCTGGAGAGGAGCTTGTGGTCTGGGCCATAAGTCGGGATTGGGTAAAAATAAAGTAGGCTGAAGCCAGGCACTGGTGGCTCACCCCTGTCATCCTAGCCTTACTCAGGAGGCCAAGATCTGACCATTGAGGTTCAAAGCCAGCCTGGGCAGAAAAGCCCATGAGACTCATCTCCAATAAACCTCCAGAAGCTGGACGCTGGTGGCTCACGCCTGTAATCTTAGCTACTCAGGAGGCTGAGATCTGAGGATCGCGGTTCATAGCCAGCCCGGGCAGGAGAGACCGTGAGACTCCTATCTCCAATAACCACCAGAAAAACCGGAAGTGGCGCTGTAGCTCAAGTGGTAGAGCGCTCGCCTTGAGCTGAAGAACTGAGGGACAGCGCCCAGGCCCAGAGTTCAAGTCCCACGGCTGACCAAAAAAAAAAAAAAAACCACCAGAAAACCAGAAGTGGTGCTGTGGCTCAAGTGGTAGAGCAATAGGCTTAAGCACAAAGTGGCTCAAGGACAGCGCCCAAGCCCAGAGTTCAAGCCCCAGGACCAGCATGAAAAAGAAGAAGAAAAAAGTAGGCGAAGTGCAGGGCCAGAGGTGCGCTGTGTTCTGTAGAAGTCTGCCTTGAGGCAGATAGGGGACCCGCACTGACGTGAGGCTGCTGACCAGAGCTCCCACAGCTGCCCACAGGGTGGACGGCGGGGGGGGGGGAGGCTCCCACTCCTTGCTGTGTTGTGCTGGTCTAGGCCCACACTGGGCACAGGAGTGGGCTGGGCAGCAGGAAGGGAAAGGGCCAGGGTCTGGCAGCAGCACCGTCGGAGGCACCTCTCACTTGGTGGGTGGCCATCTGGAGGAGGCTGGACAGCTGGGCCAGCCCACCACGGAGGAGGTAGGTCCTGAGAGCATGCTGCTGGGCCACATTCCTCACTTCTAGGGAGCTGGAATCCATCTCACATGACCCAGGGAGGGCCAGAGGGGTGAGACTCCCAGGAAAGGGAACCAGGAGATGAATGAACTACTGCCAGGAACACCACCAGGGGACTGAGTGTGGGGTGAGGACGTGTCTGGGTGCACAGGAGGTGTCAGGTAGAGTGGAATCAGATACAACCGTGCTGCTCTGAATCAGTCAGACCTCTGTCTGCCCTGTGTTGACTTGGACTAGGCACTGGGTCTGGTCCTTCTGAGCCCTGTGTCCGTTCATTGTTATTATTGTTGCAATCAAGTAGTTGTAAAAAGGAGTTACAATTCTATAACTCAGGCTTTGAGTACAATGTCATGGGGCTTGAACTCTGGGCCTGGGCGCTGTCCCTGAACTTTTCAGCTCAAGGCGAGCGCTCTACCACTTGAGCCACAGCACCACTTCCGGTTTTCTAGTGGTTTATTGGAGGTAAGAGTCTCACGGACTTTCCTGCCAGGGCTGGCTTTGGGCCGCGATCCTCAGATCTCAGCCTCCTGAGTGGCTGGGATGACAGGCGCGAGCCACCAGCGCCCAGCGAATGTCGCCCCTCTTGTTATGACTCATTTCTTCCCCCCTCCCATCACTACCCTCAAGTTACTTTGTTTTGCACATTAAATATAAAGACGACATTGGTCGCCCTTCCTCCTGGCATTCCTGTGCTCGCTTTTCCCACTCCCGCAAACATGTTTCCACTTCCTGGTCTTCATTTTGGTCAGTGGTACTTTAGTTGTTCAGGGTTTTGCTGCGGGACGACAGGAGCCGTGAGCCCCGGGCAGCCGAGTCCACTACCGCAGCGCACAGCAAGCCCGGCGCACCTGCCGCACCCCGCCTGCCAGGCCCCGCAGGGCTGGGGCGGGGAGCCGCGGGGGCCTCGGCTGTGCTCGTGGCCGGCGCTGCTAGGCGAGGCCGGGGCTTAGCCGACCTCCCCGGGGCCTGCGTGGGGCAGCGCCGCCCTTGCCGGGTGTGAGCCGCTCGCCCTGGCCCGGGACCTGGCCTCCTCCACTGCAGGGCCCTGGGACGAGGGCTGGTGGAGCCGGCCTCTGCTTTCTGGGACTCAACTCCCTGAGCAACAGCAAAAGGAAACCGGAGCGCTCCGGAGCCCTCCGCCTGCCCCACCCCAGGGCGCCCCCACCCGTGCGGCCCCCCCTCGCGTTGGGAGGCCAGCAGCCCCTCGACGCGGTCTGGGCTTGGGCCTCCCGCGGCGGCGGCGTGTCCGGCCCCTCGCGCGCTGCGCGCTCCCGGGGTGGGGCTCCCCTTCATTGCTCTCCAGTCGCCCTTTGGCCGCCCGGCTGCCCGAGCGCAATCCCAGCTAGGCCCGCCTCGGGGGAACGGCCCGGGGCACCGGGAAGGGTGACCTTGAGCCGCGGCTAAGCGCCCGCCGCCCGCAGCCTGGGCTAGGGGTCGCCGGGGACACCGGGCGGAGGAGGGCGGAGGCGCCAGGGCGGGCGGGGCAGTGCTCGCGCAATCCGCTGGCTGGGCCCGGACCTGGGGGCTAGGCCCCGCCCCGCCCCGCAGGCCCCGCCCCGCAGGCCCCGCCCCGCAGGCCCCGCCCCCGCAGGCAGGCCCCGCCCCCACAGGCAGCCCCCGCCCCGCAGGCAGGCCCGGCCCCCGCAGACAGGCCCCGCCCCGCAGGCAGGCCCGGCCCCCGCAGACAGGCCCCGCCCCGCAGGCAGGCCCGGCCCCGCCCCGCAACCCCGCCCCCGCAGCCCCGCCCCGCCCCCCCAGCCGGGCCCCGGGGCGGGCAGGGGAGCAGTTCGCTGCCAGCCGGAGCTGACCCGACGGACAGGTGGGCCCTCGACCCCCGCCCCAGCGCCTTCCTCCCGTCTTGCCCTCCTCGCTCCTCGGCCCGCTCCTGGTCGGCTCCGGCTCCGGCCGGGAGCCCCGCCCCGCGTGCACGGTTCCCGCCCCGCCCTGCCCGGTGGCTGCGGCCTGCAGGCCAGGGCCCAGGATGAGCCTGCCCGGACGCGGGCCTGCCGGGTCGGACGCGGGTGCCCGGCTCCCGTGCAGATCAGCCCCCAGGCGTGGCCCTCAGCCTCCCTGTTGTCCAGTTCTCCCAGGGCTCCCGGCCGAAGAGCTGCAGCTGGACTCCAGCCACACCAGCATGGCCACCCCCGAGGGCCGCTTCCATTTTGCCATCGACCGCGGAGGCACCTTCACAGACGTCTTTGCCCAGTGCCCAGGAGGGCACGTGCGGGTCTTGAAGCTGCTGTCAGAGGATCCCGCCAACTACGCAGACGCGCCGACGGAGGGCATCCGTCGGATCCTGGAGCAGGTGGGCCAGGGCGCGAGCGGGGGGGGGGGGGGGGGGGGAGGGGGGGGCGTGTAGGGGGAGCTCAGCGCGTCCTGACGCCGGCCTGGTGACCCCCCAGGAGGGGAGCTTGCTGCTGCCCCGAGACCAGCCTCTGGACACCAGTCAGATCGCCAGCATCCGCATGGGGACCACAGTGGCCACCAACGCGCTCCTGGAGCGGAGGGGAGAGCGGGTGGCGTTGCTGGTGACACGTGGTTTCCGAGACCTGCTGCACATTGGCACGCAGGCCCGCCCCGACCTCTTTGACCTGGTGAGCTCTTACCCGCCACTTGCATGCTGAGCAGGGGGCTTCTACCCCTCCCCACCGGGCCAACCACTACGCCCTGTGTGGGCCCTGGCGGCTCAAGCTAGCCCTGTGTGGGGTGAGGTGGAAGCCCCACCGCTGTGGCTGGGCTCCTGGTAGGAGGGGCCTCCGTGGGGGTGGGGCAATTGGCGCTGGCACACTCTGATGCCCCAGGGCAAAGAACCCTCGCACCCCCCCTTGGGCCTTGCTGGGCTGCTTCCTGGGCCTGTGGAGTTGCCTGTTGGGACACAGGCCCTGGCCTGCTCGGCTTGGCCTGCCCACCCCACCCCACCCACTCTCCCTGCCCAGGCCGTGCCCATGCCGGAGGTGCTGTACGAGGATGTGGTGGAGGTGGAGGAGCGAGTGGTGCTGTACCGGGGAGAGCCAGGCGCCCGGTCTCCGGTGAAAGGTGTGCCTGCCAGGCATGTGCAAAGCCCTGGGTTTGATCCCCGGCACTGACAAAGAAAGTCAAGGAAGAGTTGAGTGGGCATAGCGTCCATGCCTGAAAATACACCTGTCATCCCAGCCTTTGGGAGGCTGGGGCAAGAGGGCCGCCCATTAGGTGCTAGCATGGGCTGTGCGGAGGGGCTCTGTGTCACACTTCTTCCCTGGCACAAACCACCCACCAACGCCCCAGCGGCGGTGAGGCCTAGAAGCAGACAGATCCTTTATTTGGGCTCCATGGGGTCCTGCAGGCCGCACAGGGGACCTGCTGGAGGTGCAGCAGCCGGTGGACCTGGGGGCGCTGCGTGGGAAGCTGGAGGGGCTGCTGGCGCGGGGCATCCGCAGCCTCGCCGTGGTGCTCATGCACTCGTACACGTGAGTGAGGAGCCGGCGGCGGGAGGCGGCCGGCCCGCCAGGGCCTGGGGTCTTGGCGGGCACAGTGGCCCTGAGTTTTCATTGTAGGTGGGCCCAGCATGAGCAGCAGGTGGGCACACTGGCCCGGGAGCTGGGGTTCACACACGTGTCCCTGTCCTCGGAGGCCATGCCGATGGTGCGGATCGTTCCCCGGGGGCACACAGCCTGCGCCGACGCCTACCTCACTCCTGCCATCCAGCGCTACGTGCAGGGCTTCCGCAGAGGCTTCCAGGGCCAGCTCAAGGTGAGGCCCAGGGCAGCCTGGCGTACCCGGGGCGGCCTGGCGTACCCAGGATGGCCCGGCGTGCGGGCCCGCCTTTGGCCCAGGTGCTGTGCTGGCCCAGATACTCATGCCTTGTCCCCCCCCCCCCCCCCCCCCCCCCCCGCCGTTCACAGGATGTGCAGGTGCTCTTCATGCGCTCAGACGGAGGCCTGGCGCCCATGGACACCTTCAGCGGCTCCCGCGCGGTGCTCTCGGGGCCCGCGGGCGGCGTGGTTGGCTATTCTACCACCACCTACAAGCTGGAGGGCGGTCAGCCCGTCATTGGCTTTGACATGGGAGGTACAGGGGCGGAAGCGGGCGGGGCGGAGGGCGGCCTGGGGAATATTCTCCCTGCCAGGCCGCATTGGGGAACTCCCAGCATGCCGTCCACCAGGCACGTCGACAGACGTGAGCCGCTACGCCGGGGAGTTTGAGCACGTCTTCGAGGCCAGCACTGCTGGCGTCACCCTGCAGGCCCCCCAGCTGGATATCAACACAGTGGCGGCTGGTGGGGGCTCCCGCCTCTTCTTCAGGTGGGTTTCCACTCTCTCTTCTGGATCTCTCACCCTTTCTCTCTCCCGCCTCCAATTCTAGCCCTCTGTCTCCCAAGGTCTGGCCTCTTTGCTGTTGGGCCCGAGTCTGCAGGTGCCCACCCAGGCCCCGCCTGCTACCGAAAAGGTAAGGTGTGATCCAGCCCTGGACGCCTGCCCTGCCCTCTCCACGGTCACCTGGGCCTGCCCCGCTCCTCTATCTCCATCCCTGCCGCCCACTCCGGGCCACCTGTCCCCAGTCCCCAACCTCCACATCATGCCCACCTCCCAGGGGGCCCTGTGACCGTGACGGATGCTAATCTAGTCCTGGGTCGCCTGCTGCCTGCCTCCTTCCCCTGCATTTTCGGGCCTGGAGAGGACCAGCCACTGTCCCCCGAGGCCTCCCGGAAGGCCCTGGAAGCTGTGGCAGCTGAGGTCAACAGCTTCTTGACCACCGGCCCCTGCCCCGCCTCCCCGCTGAGCCTGGAAGAAGTGGCCATGGGGTTCATACGCGTGGCCAACGAGGCCATGTGCCGCCCCATCCGGGCCCTCACCCAGGTATGCCCGCCGCATCTCCTGTGGGCCCTGCCCCTGACCCCACACACTCGCCCAGCCCTGTCCACTGCGTAGAGGCAGAGGCTGCCTGGCCTGTGGGAAGGGGCGCTATTGATGTTCTCTGGGTCCCCAGGCTCGAGGCCACGACCCCTCAGCCCACGTGCTGGCCTGCTTCGGGGGAGCTGGTGGGCAGCACGCCTGTGCCATTGCCCGGGCGCTCGGCATGGACAGCGTGCACATTCACAGGTGGGCCTGGGCGGGGCTATGACTGGGGAGCTGGCTCTGGATTCACAGGTGGGCCTGGGCAGGGGCGAGGCCAGGCAGCTGGCTCTGGATTCACAGGTGGGCCTGGGCAGGGGCGAGGCCGGGGAGCTGGCTCTGGATTCACAGGTGGGCCTGGGCAGGGGCGAGGCCGGGCAGCTGGCTCTGGATTCACAGGTGGGCCTGGGCAGGGGCGAGGCCGGGGAGCTGGCTCTGGATTCACAGGTGGGCCTGGGCAGGGGCGAGGCCGGGCAGCTGGCTCTGGATTCACAGGTGGGCCTGGGCAGGGGCGAGGCCGGGGAGCTGGCTCTGGATTCACAGGTGGGCCTGGGCAGGGGCGAGGCCGGGGAGCTGGCTCTGGATTCACAGGTGGGCCTGGGCAGGGGCGAGGCCGGGGAGCTGGCTCTGGAGATGCCCTCACTGTGTCTCTCTCTTCCTGCAGGCACAGCGGGCTGTTGTCGGCGCTGGGGCTGGCCCTGGCAGATGTGGTCCACGAGGCTCAGGAGCCCTGCTCCCTCTCCTACACCCCTGAGACTTTCGTGCAGCTGGACCAGAGGTTGAGCCGCCTGGAGGAGCAGTGTGTGGAGGCCTTGCAGGCCCAGGGCTTCCCCAGGTGGGTTCCGCGGTGCCAGCACAGGGTCTGAGTTGTTCCCGCCATGCCATTGGCAGGGTCACTGCCTGAGGGACCTTAAGGGCGACCCGAGGACTCCTGGTTCTCAGTGCCTGAGGAAGTGAGACAGGCGTTCTGGGTGGCTCTGGGTGAGCGCCCCACCGTGTGCCACAGATCCCAGATCAGCACCGAGAGCTTCCTGCACCTGCGCTACCAGGGCACGGACTGTGCCCTCATGGTGTCTGCCCACCAGCACCCAGCCACGGCCCACTCCCCCCACGCCGGAGACTTCGGGGCAGCCTTTGTGGAGAGGTCTGTGAGCCCTCCTCCTGGGAGCCGGGGGCGGCCAGCTCCTGGGCCCCTCACCTTCGTGGTGTCTTTGGGTGGGGTACAGGTACATGAGGGAGTTTGGCTTTGTCATCCCTGAGAGGCCGGTGGTGGTAGACGACGTCAGGGTGAGGGGCACTGGCCGCAGTGGCCTCCGGCTGGAGGACGCACCCAGAGTGCAGACCGGGCCTCCCCGTGTGGACAAGGTCTGTGGCCCTCCCTGTCCTGGCTTGCACATGGCTGAGGCCTGTGGGGAGGGCAGGCTGCGGTGGGGGCCGCGGGGCGCTCGGGGGCCCTCGGAGCCCGGCTTCTCTACATCCTCTGTAGGTGACCCAGTGCTATTTTGAGGGAGGCTACCAGGAGACCCCAGTGTACCTGTTAGGAGAGCTGGGCTATGGCCACCAGCTCCATGGGCCCTGCCTCATCATCGACAGCAATAGGTAGAGGAAGCCTTTCCAGGGGCTGGTGTGGGGGGGGGGGTCGGGGGGGCAGCGGGGGGGGGGGGCCTGAGCTGTTAGGACTGCAGTGGGCGTGCCGCTTTGCCTGGCGCTCTGAGGTGCCCCTTGGCAGCTCCCCTGTACCTGCTCTCCCAGCACCATACTTGTGGAGCCTGGCTGCCAGGCAGAAGTGACGGAGACCGGGGATATCCGCATCTCTGTGGGGGCCGAGGCGCCCAGCACAGTGAGCACCAAGCTCGATCCCATCCAGCTGTCCATCTTCTCACACCGCTTCATGAGCATCGCTGGTGAGTGGCCACCACTGTCGAGTGAGGCCTGGCTGCTGTGGGACCAAACGTGGGAGAGGCACAGGCAGGCTGGTGGACAGTATCAGTGTCATCCCCTGGCTGGTGGTGCGTGTGCCAAGAGGAGGGGAACAATTCTTACCAGCAACTGGGCGGGCGGGCAGGCATGTCTCAGGCAGGACAAGCACCGCCTTCCTCTGAGGCCCGTGTGAGAGGCAGGTGCCAGGAGCCCATCTGGGTGGGATTAGGCCAGGGGCTTTCTGGAACCCGGGAGACTATGCCTGGGGACCAAGCCATTGCTGGGCCAGACAGGATGGAGGGAGCAGAGGAGGTCTTAGGTTCTCTCACAGGGGCATGGCTACAGCCTGGCGACCACATGGGCATGCGGCCACTTTGATCTTCTGTGGGGCGTGCCAGGTCCCGGATTTGGGCATCGGAGAGCCTGACCCTGGGGGTCCCATCGCAGGATGCACAGGTGGCATCCTGCCCCAGCCCCCTTCCCTGGGGCCAGGCGTGGGGAGGCGGGGCCGGCAGGCACCTGGTTACTCTGTGTCCCCAGAGCAGATGGGCCGCATCCTGCAGCGCACGGCCATCTCCACCAACATCAAGGAGCGCCTCGACTTCTCCTGTGCCCTCTTTGGACCCGATGGGGGTCTGGTCTCCAATGCCCCGCACATCCCTGTGCACCTAGGTGCAATGCAGGAGACCGTGCAGTTCCAGGTACGGAGAGCACCTCCTCACCTACCCTGACCTGCCCCTGCTTTCCTCCCCCACTCTGCACCTGTCTCTTGTTTCAGATCCAGCATTTGGGCGCCAATCTGCACCCTGGCGACGTTCTGCTCAGCAACCATCCCAGTGCGGGAGGCAGCCATCTTCCGGACCTGACTGTCATCACTCCCGTAAGAGGGCTGCCTGGCTGGCTGGGATGACTACCTCTGGGGACACGGCTGACCACTGCTCTCCCCTGCTTAGGTGTTTTGGCCAGGTCAGACTCGGCCTGTGTTCTATGTGGCTAGCCGCGGGCACCACGCTGACATTGGGGGTATCACCCCAGGCTCCATGCCCCCCCACTCCACGACACTGCAGCAGGAGGGCGCTGTCTTTTTGTCCTTCAAGCTGGTCCAGGGGGGAGTCTTCCAGGAGGAAGGTGAGTGGGAGGGAGGGGGGCCGTGGTGAGCATTCAGCTGGCTGGGATGGGCTGTGCTAGGCCTGGCTGAGCTGGCCCTTGGGATCCAGCCCACAGCCCAGGCCTGTCCTGATGAACCCTCAGTCCTCTGGGCCAGTGCAGATCCTCAGGCATGACCGGAGGGACTGAGATGAATTCCACCTGAGCCTTGGAAGGCCCTGGGAAGGTGGTTTGGGGTGAGAATTGTCCAGGACACCCAAGCAGCAGAGTGAAGAAGGGAGCAGGGCCCATTTCAAGATGGATGGCTGTTCCCACCCATACTGGGGCTGGGGCTGGGGGGATACAGCTGGGCCTGGTTGTCCAGCAGCAAGGCATGGATGAGGATTTTTGGCCTGGCTAGCACTGCTGCCTGAATCCCTGCAGGGTATGAGGGTTCCAGAGAGTCCTGGATGGGGGGGGGGGTCGGGAATGCCAGGGGTTGGAGGGGGTCGGGTGTGCCAGGGGCAGTGGCCCTGGATCATAGTGTGAAGCTGGGTGGAGGATGGAAGGTGCTGGGTGGAAATTCAGAGTGGGTGTTTGATGGAATTTTGGGGGAAGTGAGGTGTCAGGTTTGGACAACTAGAGGTTGGAGTTCTTGGTACAGAGCCAGCTGCTGGGAGATGGAGGCAGTGGGAAAGAGCATTACTTTGAGGTTGCAGGGGTCTGAGGGCAGGGCAACAGTGTGAAGAGACACGGGGTAGTGTGTGTGTGTGTGTGTGTGTGTGTGTGTGTGTGTGTGTGCGCGCGTGCGCGTGCGCCACAGGTCTTTAGGGTGCCAGGGGCGTGGACAAGGTGACCTGGTCAGCGGAAGTGTGCAAACACATGACATGGCCAGGGGCCAGGCTGGGGGAGGGGAGAGGGGGGCAGGAAGTTTCTCCTGGGGTGTGTGGGAGGAACTGGGCCAGACCTATCCCGCTGGGGTGTGGGAGGAGCTGGGCCAGACCTCTCCTGCTGAGGTGTGGGAGGAGCTGGGCCAGACCTATCCCGCTGGGGTGTGGGAGGGGCTGAGCCAGACCTCTCCCGCTGGGGTGTGGGAGGGGCTGAGCCAGACCTCTCCCGCTGGGGTGTGGGGGGAGCTGGGCCAGACCTCTCCCGCTGGGGTGTGGGAGGGGCTGAGCCAGACCTCTCCCGCTGGGGTGTGGGGGGAGCTGGGCCAGACCTCTCCCGCTGGGGTGTGGGAGGGGCTGAGCCAGACCTCTCCCGCTGGGGTGTTGGGGAGCTGGGCCAGATCTCTCCTGCTGGTATGAGTGGGAAAAGAGACTCTCTGGTCAGAGATAGGAGGGTGGAGACCAGACAGTGCCTGGTGCATGGGCAGGCCAGTGAGCAGGGCAAGCTGGGGAGTGTCAGGGAAGTGGAGAAAGGGAGGATGCAGAGAAGGCAGGAAGGCGTCCCCTTCCCCCAGGCAATGACCTCCAGCTTCAGTGAGGTCATTGGCAAAGCTGCTGCCCAACATGCCCTGGGATAGTGGTCAGCAGAAGAGTAGGGTGAAGCCTGGCGTCCTCAGCGGCCCTGAGTGAGTCGGGGAGCGGGGAGGGAAGGGACAACAGGAGGTCTCAGAGCCACTGGGTAGGGCACAGCGGGTGTAGGAAAGGGCACCAGGCGGCCTGCGCAGGGAGTAGTGCTTCAGTGGAGACCCTGTCCATCCAGCGGTGACAGAGGCCCTGCGGGCACCGGGCAAGATCTCCGGCTGCAGCGGAACCAGGAACCTGCATGACAACCTGTCCGATCTCCGGGCCCAGGTGGCAGCCAACCAGAAGGGCATCCAGTTGGTGGGAGAGCTAATTGGGCAGTACGGCCTGGATGTGGTGCAGGCCTACATGGGCCACATTCAGGTGGGCCTGGGCGCAGGTGTGCGGGCAGTGCAGGGGCTCCTCAGGGTGGCATGGTGCGCTGAGCCCCTCTCCCTGCCAGGCGAACGCCGAGCTGGCCGTGCGGGATATGCTGCGGGCCTTCGGCGCGTCCCGGCAGGCCCGGGGCCTGCCCCTGGAGGTGCTGGCCGAGGACTACATGGACGACGGCTCCCCCATCCGCCTCCGCGTTCAGGTCAACCTCAATCAGGTGGGGCCTGGCGGGGAGGCGGGGGCATGGGCCGCGACCCCTGATCTCCCCACACCCCCGCACTCCACCCCGGTGGTCAGGGAAGGTGGGGCGTGGCCCCGCGACCCCTGATCTCCCCACACCCCCGCACTCCACTCCTGTGGTCAGGGAAGGTGGGGCGTGGCCCCGTGACCCCTGATCTCCCCACACCCCCACACTCCACCCCGGTGGTCAGGGAAGGTGGGGCGTGGCCCCGCGACCTCTGACGCTCCCCCCCACGGCCAGGGCAGCGCTGTGTTTGACTTCACCGGCACCGGGCCTGAGGTGTTCGGCAACCTCAACGCCCCGCGCGCCATCACGCTGTCCTCGCTCATCTACTGCTTGCGGTGTCTGGTGGGCCGGGACATCCCACTCAACCAGGTGGGCAGAGGCGAGCTCGGGTCCCGGAGTGCGGGTCACCCCAGCGCGGGCCTGGGGTGGGCTTTCCTGGAACCTGAGCCGCTCGCTGGGCGCAGGGCTGCCTGGCGCCCGTGCGCGTGGTGATTCCCAGAGGCTCCATTCTGGACCCATCCGCGGAGGCCGCCGTGGTGGGCGGCAACGTGCTTACGTCGCAGCGCGTGGTGGACGTCATCCTGGGGGCCTTCGGGGCCTGTGCCGCCTCGCAGGTGCGGTGGGCGGAGCCAGCAGCGTGCGGGGCGGGGCGATGGCCAGCAAGGGGGCGGGGCCGGAACCTGGCGGGCGGGGCGATGGCCAGCGCGGGGCGGCAGGGGCGGGGCCTGGCCGGGAGCGAGCGCCACCTCGCCGTCGCCCCTTGACCCGGCCAGGGCTGCATGAACAACGTGACCCTGGGCAACGCCCACATGGGCTACTACGAGACGGTGGCGGGCGGCGCGGGAGCGGGTCCTGGCTGGCACGGACGCAGCGGCGTCCACACCCACATGACCAACACGCGCATCACCGACCCCGAGATCCTGGAGAGCCGGTGGGCCGGGCCGGCGGGGGCGGGGCCTGGCTGGCGGGGGCGGGGCGGGCCGGCGGGGGCGGGGCGGGCCGGCGGGGCCGGGCCTGGCTGGCGGGGTCGGCGGGGCCTGGCGGGGGCGGGCCGGGCCGGCGGGGGCGGGGCCGGGCTGGCGGGGCCGGGGCCGCCCTGAGCGCCCGCCCCGTGCAGGTACCCCGTCATCCTGCGCCGCTTTGAGCTGCGGCCCGGCTCCGGAGGCCGCGGCCGCTTCCGGGGCGGCGACGGCGTGGTCCGCGAGCTGCTCTTCCGGGAGGAGGCGCTGCTGTCGGTGCTCACCGAGCGCCGCGCCTTCCGGCCGTACGGCCTGCACGGTAGGCGGCACCCCGTCCCTCCCCCGCCGCGGCCCCGGCCCGGCCCCGCCTCCACCCCGGCCCTGCCTTCCCCGCAGGGGGCGAGCCTGGCGCCCGCGGCTTAAACCTGCTGATCCGCAAGGATGGCCGCACGGTGAACCTGGGCGGGAAGACGTCCGTGTCCGTGTACCCTGGGGTGAGCGATGCGGCCTTGGCCTTCACCCCACCCCTGCCCTCAAGCAGGGACCGAGATGTGGAAGTAGTCAGAGGCAGGGTTTAGTCAGCCCCGGCTCTCTGGACCCGGCGGCCCCCGCGCTGAACCCGCGCCTCCTTCCATTCCACAGGACGTGTTCTGCCTTCACACGCCCGGCGGCGGGGGCTACGGTGACCCAGAGGACCCCGGCCCCCCTCCGGGTTCTCCTCCGCAGCCCCCAGCCTTCCCTGAGCGGGGCAGCGTTTATGAGTACCGTCGTGCCCAGGAGGCCGTGTGAGGGACTTCGCCATAAATTAAATCGCCGGCTTCTGGGGCAGAGGCCAGACCCAACACTGCGTACGTCTTGGTCCGTGTCGCTGACCATCCCCGTGGTGCATCTTACGTGCCAGTGTGGGAACCCTGGGAAACGCGGAGCTGCAGGCCCACGGGCAGGTGGTCTGTGAGCCCAGCCAAAGCGGTACTGAAGGTCACCTGCTCCACCTCCTGGTGGTGGGAGTCAGGCTGAGGTGTAGTCTCTGGGCCAGCGGGCCCACTGCCCTGAGCTCTGGCACTTACTGGGTTCAGTAGGCCCCCTGGCACTCCCCGGTACATGATGTAGTCCAAGCGTCGGCCCCTCCAGGGTTTAGCTCTCTGGCTACCCTGGGGAGAGCCTGCCATGTAGATGTGGCGCTCTTTCTCCTGCTCCAGGGCCCTGGGGGAGGGATGGTATGATCGAGGCAAGGCATCTCTCTCAGTGGGCAGAGACACACAGTGGTTGCTACTCACCTGCGGAGCATTTCCGGGGAGCTGGCTACCGAGTGGTGGAGCATGGAGGTGCTCAGGATCGTCCCTGTGGGGTTGGAAGGCAAAATCAGCCGGTGCTTTGCCTACAGCCTTCCCAGCCCACTCCCCGGGTGTCCTACCCAGGGACCAGGGCTGCTCCTGGCCCGTGCCCAGCCGGCAGGGGTCCTGAAAGCAACTGAAGAGCTTGTGCTCCTGTTCCTGCTTGTGCTCTGTGGAGAAAACCCAGGTGCCTGGTGGGTGGGCCCAGGCCTTTCAGTTCTGTCCCATCCCAGCGTCAGCTCACCTTTGGAGCAGTTGTCAAAGTTTAGGTCTCCCAGGAGCACGCTGAAGGCCACCACCTCTCCGCTCTGGCAGCCTTCCTCCTCAAACTGTTCTGCCCAGTCCAGCAGCAGCGTGAGCTGTGCGCAGCGCAGGGCCCCGTCCTCTAGGAGTGCAGGGCGGTGGGAGGGGGTGGTGGCAGGCTCAGCTCAGGACCCTCGCCTTGGACACGCTGCCTCCTCTCGTGTCTGGGTCTGACCCCACCAGAGCTCCTTGGGAGCGCGGGGCGGCGGGGGCCTGGGCGAGGTGCTCACCGGTGGGCGCCTGCAGGTGCGTGCAGTGCAGGAACCCCACGACGCACCGCCCGTCCAGGGCGCCCAGCTGCACCTGCAACGGCACTCATGGGCTCGGCTCTCCCGGGCCCCCGCGCCCCCCCCCCCAGTCGGCCGGCCGGCGGGTACCTGCGCGGACAGCAGGCCCTTGGAGGCCAGCGCGTCCTCGCGCCTCGAGTCGGGGAAACAGCGGAAGGAGGCCCGCAGCAGCGGGTAGCGCGAGGCCAGGAGCAGCCCGCTGCCGAGCAGCTTGAGGTGCGGCCCGGGCCGCAGGCCGAGCGCGCCCACGTCCCACAGCACCGGGCCCAGGCTGGGCGCCAGGCGGCGCGCCAGGCGCCGCGCGGCCCGGAGGTCGAAGACCTCCTGCAGGCACACGAAGTCCAGGCCCGCGGGCACGGTGGCCAGCAGGGCCGCGCGGGGCGGCGGGGGCGCCGAGGGCGGCGGGGGCGCCGGGGGCGCCGGGGCCGGCGGGGGCGGCGGGGGCGCACTCGCAGCCGCCCAGGCCAGCGCGGCGCCCAGCGCCTCGGCCCGCCGCTGGCTGTGCGGCAGGTTGCTGAAGCGCGCCAGCCCGTCGGGGAGCAGGCACAGGTTGGCGGTGAGGAAGCGGAAGCGGCGCGGGCCCGCGCGCGGGCTCCAGGGCGCGGGCGGCGCCCAGCAGGCCGGCGGCGGCCGGTAGCGGAAGGGCCGGCGCAGGGCCTGCAGCGGCAGCCAGAGCAGCAGGCCGGGCAGCGCCAGCGGGAGCCCGGCCAGCAGCAGCAGCGCCAGCGCCGCGGCGCCGCCCGCCACGGCCCGCAGCCACCCGCGCCCGCCCGCGGGCCCCGCCGGCGCGCAGTGGCCCAGGAGCCGGTCCAGGAGCCAGTAGGCCGGGAAGAGCAGCAGGAGGGCGGCGCGGTGGAGGGCGTGCAGCGCCGGGTGCGGGAAGGGCGAGGCCCGCAGGTCTGCGGGGGCCGGGGGCGGCGCGCCGGGCGGCGGCGCCATAGGGGCGCGGGGCCGAGCCCCACGCGTGGCCGTGGAGGACGGAGGGGACCCCTCCCGGCAGACCGGCCCCGGGCCGCGCCCTGCCCGCCTCCCGCGACTTGCGGGACCCGGGATGCCGGGCGCCCCTCGAAGCCCGGCCCGGCCCGGCCCAGCCCGCGCCTCCGGGCAGCGCCGCGGAGGCCCAGGGAGGCGCCAAGGGCGTTAGCGTGGGTCGCGGCGCTGCCCACGCGCCGGCCGCGGGACCGTTGGCCCCGCCCTGGGCGGTGCGGCCGCCTCCAGGCCCCGCGCCCCGCGCCCCCGCCCGCTCCAGGCTTCTCGGAGCCGCAGGCCTTGCGTGGCTCTCCTTGGGTCTCTTGTGCCAGTCCCGGGGCTTGAACCCAGGGCTTGGATGCTGTTCCGGAGCGCTCTTGCTCAAGGCCAGTGCTCCAGTGCTCCAGCATTTCAGCCACAGCTCCACTTCTGGCCCTTTGGGTGCTTAACTAGGGGGAAGCCTCATGGACTTTCCCATCCAGGCTGGCTTCGAACTACAAACCTCAGGTCTCAGCCTCCTTAGTAGCTAAGATTACAGGTGTGAGCCACAGGTGCCTGGCTTGCCCCCCCCCCCACACACACACCTGGGCTCAAACACTTTCCCTGAGCTGCTTTTTGCTCAAGGCTAACACTCTACCACTAAAGCCTAATCTGTGGTTAGAGATAAGCGACTCCTGGACTTTCGAGCCCCAGGCTGGCTTCCAAACGAGATCCTCGGATCTCAGCCTGGGGGATTACAGGCCTGAGCCACAGGAGTGTGGGCTGAGGCTCTCTAGTTCCAGCAGAGTCTGTATCCACACCCTGCCAGCCTGGGGCCAGTGCCTCTTACATTCCCCTAAAGATTTAGGCAAAGCTTCCATCCCTTCACCTGGGGGGGGGGGGGTTCTGAGCTGTTCTTGGCGGGCCCCAAATGTCACTCTCTGGCCTGAGTTCTCCCCTGCCTTATTCCAGGGTTGAGCATGAGATTGAGCTGTCTGCTTGTAACTTCTCTGTAAACATGGCGTGGAAGGGGTGGAAGGCAGCAAATGGGGCTCAGCCACCCCGCACATCTGCACTGTCTCTGGATTCCTGGTTGCCTGTAGTGTCTCCGCTCCCTGACTGGCACGCACCAGCCTTCAAGACCCTCCTCAGCTGCAGGGCCTGAACTCTGGGCCTGGGCGCTGTCTCTCCCCTCTTCAGCTCAAGGCTAGCACTCTACCACTTGAGCCACAGCGCCACTTCCAGCTTTTTTCTTTATGTGGTGCTGAGGAATCAAACCCAGGGTCTCAGGCATGCAAGGCAAGCGCTCTACCACTGAGCCACCTTCCCAGCCCCTATAGCCCTGTTCTTTACACTGCGTGGCCTGTGCGGTCCTGAGGCCCCTGGGCCTTTCCCCCCCCTGCCCCACGGGTTCTCCTTGTGCCTGGGCCTTCTGCCCTGCCACAGCCCTCCCCCCCTCCCCTAGTCCGTGGGGCTCGGCCAGCACCCGTCTTACAGCCCCCGGTCTCTGCCTGTCTTGCTTCCAGTCCATCCCCTGCTGTGGGTGGTTCCCTCCCTCCCAGCTTGAGCGGCAGTCCTGTGATGAGGGCCCCCTCTTCCTCCATCTAGGGTATCTTGGGGAGACTGCTTTCTCCTGGCTCTCCTCCCTCTACTGCCCTCATCACCAGGCAAAGAGGACCTGGGCCTCCTGTCCACCCCGCCGACAGCCGCTGAGCCCTCTTCTGCCTGTTCTTTTCGGAACCCCATGGTGGGTGTGGAGAGGCTCCGAGCAGGAGTGCGGTGGGGCGCCAGGTTAGCGTGTGTGGGAAGCTTTAATGGTCATGCACAGGAGTGTGTGGTGGAGAGCCGGGGCCAGCCTGGCACCGGTGTTACCAGATGAACATGGGCTTGCCGTCGTCGTGGGCGAGCTGGCTGAGGCAGGAGAGCAGCAGCAGCGCGTCGGTCAGCATACTGGGGTGCACGGTGTCCACCAGCACGCGCTGCAGGAAGTCCACCGTGTAGCAGCCGCCTTCGGAGGCCGCCAGCTCCGGCCGCTCCCTCAAGATGCCATAGGCGTTCACCAGCTGCTCTGTCAGCGCCGGGTGCACCCGGCCGTTGTAGCCCAGGCTCTGCAGCCTGTTCATGATGCTCACGTAGCGCTGCGTGAGTGTCTGGCACAGCTCCTCATCCAGCTTGTGGTCAGTGGGGTTCAGGGAGGCCTGTGGCGAGGGAGAGCGGCCATCAGGGGAAGCAGGGCCAGAGAGGCTGAGCGAGGCTGTCAGCTGTGGCTGACTGCAATCAAGGGTGCACAGGGAGAGGCCCACGAGGCTGGGGAAGGGCACAGGAGGCTGAGCAGAGGGAGGAGCTCCCGATGTCCCCAAGGTGACCCTGGCTGTCCCAGGAGGTGAAGGGAAGCTGAACCTGAGCTGGAGCCTGACGCCGGCCTCGCTGAGCAGCACCTTGTCCTGTGGCCCCTCCACCTGTGTGTCCTAAGCCTCTGCCCTGTGCAGCCTCCTGGGACGAGGAACTGATCACCTCAGTGGCCCCCCCCTCCCAAACCTGGTGCCTGCACCTGGGGCCAGGGCAGCAGTGGCGTCGGCCCCACCCCTCACGCTGGGCCTCCAGCCTCGCAGAGCTGAGCTGCGGCCCCAGCCCCCTCACCTCACCGCTCCGTGTCTGTCACTTTCTTGTGCCAGTTCTGGGCCTTGCACTCCCGCCTGGTGCTGGCACTTAACTTTGTCACTACTTTAGGCTTTTTGTTGGTTACTTGGAGATAAAAGTCTCATAGATTTGTCTGCCTAGGCTGGCTCTGAATTGAGATCTTAAGATCTCAGCCTCCTGAGTAGCTAGGATTACAGATGTGAGCCACCAGCACCTGGTTTTGTTATCTTGTTAACTATTTTTAATATCTCCCATTTGAGGGAACTTCATTCTCTCTCTCTCTCCCTCTCTCTTTCTTTTTTGTCGGTCCTGGGGCCTGAACTCTGGGCCTGGGCGCTGTCCCTCAGCTCTTCAGCTCGAGGCTAGCGCTCTACCACTTGAGCCATAGTGCCACTTCTGGCTTGTTCTGCTTATGTGGTGCTGAGTAATCGAACTCAGGGCCTCATGCATGCAAGGCAAGCGCTCTACCACTGAGCCACCTTCCCAGTCCCTGTTTTTTTTTTTTTTTTTTTAAGTTGTGGGGCTTGAATTTGGGAATTAGATGCTGTCTCTGAGCTGCTTTTGCTTAAGGCAAGCACTCTACTACTTGAGCCACAGAACCACTTCCAGTTTTCTGGTGGTTTTAATTGGAGAATACTTTCTTAATCAGGTTGACATTGAACTGTGATCCTCAGATCTCAGCCTCCTGAGTAGCTAGGATTACAGGCGTGAGCCACCAGCACCCAGCTATATTTTATTTTTTAATTTATTCTTATTTTTTGGTGGCTGCTAGGATTGGAACTCAGGGTGTGTGGTGCTTGCTCGGAGCTATTTTACTTCTTTTTTTTTTGGGGGGGGGGTCTGGTCATGGGGCCTGAACTCTGGGCCGGGGCGCTGTCCCTCAGCTCTTCAGCTCAAGGCTAGCGCTCTACCACTTGAACCACAGTGCCACTTCCCGCCTTTTTCTTTTTGCTTACGTGGTGCTGAGGAATCAAACTTAGGGCCTCACGCATGCAAGGCAAGCGCTCTACTACTGAGCCACCTTCCCAGCCCGCTATTTTACTTCTTGAGTCATGTCCCTACCTCTTAAATGTACTTACGTGAAAACAAAAGAAGTAAATAAAAGAGATAATAGGAGGGAAAGGGTGACATTATCTACCTGACTTACGTAACTGTAGCCCCTTTATACATAACCTTTATAATAACAATTTAAAAATAAAATAACGAGATCAAAATAAACTGCAGCGCCAAATATGGATGTGATGGCACCCACATGTCAGTGCCACCTGCCAGCCCAGTGCCACCTGCCAGCCCAGTGCCACCTGCCAGCCCAGTGTCACCTGCCAGCCCAGTGCCACCTGCTAGCCCAGTGCCACCTGCCAGCCCAGTGCCACCTGTCAGTGCCACCTGCCAGCCCAATGCCATCTGCCAGCCCAGTGCCACCTTCCAGCCCAGTGCTACCTGCCAGTGCCACCTGCCAGGCCAGTGCCACCTGCCAGACCAGAGCCACCTGTCAGTGTCACCTGCCAGCCCAGTGCCACCTGTCAGTGCCACCTGCCAGCCCAGTGCCACCTGTCAGTGCCACCTGCCAGCCCAGTGCCACCTGTCAGCCCAGTGCCACCTGCCAGCCCAGTGCCACCTGCCAGACCAGAGCCACCTGCCAGACTAGTGCCACCTGTCAGCCCAGTGCCACCTGCCAGCCCAGTGCCACCTGCCAGTGCCACCTGCCAGCCCAGTGCCACCTGTCAGTGCCACCTGCCAGCCCGGTGCCACCTGCCAGTGCCACCTGCCAGCCCAGTGCCACCTGTCAGCCCAGTGCCACCTGCCAGCCCAGTGCCACCTGCCAGACCAGAGCCACCTGCCAGACCAGAGCCACCTGCCAGCCCAGTGCCACCTGTCAGTGCCACCTGCCAGCCCAGTGCCACCTGTCAGTGCCACCTGCCAGCCCAGTGCCACCTGCCAGACCAGAGCCACCTGCCAGCTGAGGCAGGAAGACTAGGAGCAGTGGGAGCAGGGCCAGTCAAGGCTACATAATGAGACCCTGTCTCAAGAAAGAAAAATAAAAGCAACACAAAAACCTCAAAGCAGACCTAAAGACAAGGAAGTAACAAAGAGCAGGAATTAGGAAACAGCTCCAGAGGAGGGCTGGGAAGGTGGCTCAGTGCTAGAGTGCTTGTGTTGCATGCTCAAGGCCCTGGGCTCGGTTCCTCAGCACCACATAAGGAGAAAAAGCTGAAGTAACGCTGTGGTCAAGTGGGAGGGCACTAGCCGTGAGCACAAAGAGGCTCAGGGACAGTACCTAGGCCCTGAGTTCAAGGCCTACAACTGACAAAAAAGAAAAAGAGGGGCTGGGAAGCTGGCTCAGTGGTAGAGCGCTTGCCTTGCATGCCTGAGGCCCTGGGTTCGATTCCTCAGCATCACATAAGCAAAAAGAAAAAAGCTGGAAGTAGCGCTGTGGCTCAAGTGGTAGAGCACTAGCCTTGAGCTGAAGAGCTGAGGGACAGTGCCCAGGCCCAGAGTTCAGGCCCCACGACCAGACCAAAAAAAAAAGGAAGAAAGAAAAGAAAAGAAAAAGAAAACCTCTCAATGAGGAGTTGAAGGAAAGCTTTGACCTGAAGTGCAGATATGCTGACCTGCCTGCTTCTGCTTCAGCACCAGCTATGGCCTTCGGAACACCACCTGCTCCACACCATTTGTCCAAGCAGGTAGATACGGAGTGATGCTTCCATCTGGAAAAGGTGGTGCTCTGTGGGGAGCAGGGCTTTGGGGAGCACCATCAGGGTGACAGCATGGGGGTGTTTGTGTGTCTGCAGGCTGGCCTGGGAGCTTGGGTTTATGTAGGCAGGGAACTAGCAAAACCTTTGGTGTGGGGGCATTTTTTTCCTGGAAGTGTAGCACAGAAACCCAGTGTGTGTGTGTGTGTGTGTGTGTGTGTGTGTGTGTGTGTGGCCTGCAGCGTCTCTGACCACTTGAATATTTACAGTATAATAAAGCCTCTTGCATTTTCATCAATGAATTCTGTAATTTGCATGCAAAGACGGTAATTTGTCAAGGAAAAATCAAGCAGCCTGAAGTGTTTCTCATCAAGAAAGATGCAGAGACAGGTCCATGTGATCCCACACTTGAAAGTACTCCCCCTAAGGATCTATCCAGTGGCATCTGTGGTGGTGGGTGAGATGCAGGGCTGGGCTACAGCTTTGTGAGCATTTGTGTTGCATGCATGGGTAGAGTTTAGGTACACTAGTGCCCACTGGCAGTGGAGTGAAGAAAAAGAAGATAATTGGAGTCTGGCAAAAGTGAAATTTGATGCATATGGAAACAGAAAATGTCCCAAGCAAGATGGTGGAGGGCTTTCAGGTCAGAAGGCAAATTTGACTCCTAAATGGGGCCGTGATCTGCCAGCCTGGTGTAACTCAAGTCTAGATCTAGAAGCATCCAGCCAGGGTTGTGTTCCCAGTAAGGGTGTCTCTGGGTTTGGGCAGAAAAGCATGATCCCCACAGAGCCCGTCACAGCGGATGACAGCATGGGTAGCCGGTCTAGACCTGGGGTTGGAGACTGTTAGGCTGAATGACTGGGGTATCATGCCAAACCCTAGTGACCGTCTCTGCAGCTCACCGGTGCCTTAACTGTCTCCGACACACACAGAGATGTTGCGTGCATAGATCACTTCTCCTTTCCCTGGCTCTCCCCTACAGACTGTCCCCATGACCACAACCACCACCAACAAAAGCATTACAAAAAAGATCCCTATGTCAAAGGCCATTTGAGCAGCCGTTTTCAAACAACAGGAAACTAATGTCTATATGGGCAACTATGGAGATTTGTTTATAATCAAATATAGCCTTTCGCAATGAGACACCAGATGGCAACACCCAGAAACAAACATCATGCTTCTGCAGCATGTGTGCTGAATTTTAAGTCTGACAGAGGGATAGAGCAGCAGTGCCCTGGATGCCATCCAGAACCTCAAAGTGGGTCTCCACTGGCAACAGAACCTCAGGTGTAACGATGTGCAACCTGTAAATCCTGCATTTCAGTCTATAAAGTGATGAAAAACGACTCAAAGGTTGGACTACGTTTTCCTGTAACTTAAACAGACGACACTGATGAGCAATCTTATTGAAGTTAGATGGAAGAAGAGCCAAGATGCTGTGGGAGAAGAGCTAGGATGGGTCTGCCTCAAGTAATGCCCCATCTCTGATCACCCCCTGGACGAGGTTAGTGTGAACTAGAGCTGGGCAAGGCAGGCCTGGGAGGAGGGCGGGTGGAGCCGGCCCCCAGACAGCCTTTCAGGGCTTGGATATTCTGGGTCCTACATCCCGAAGCTCCAGAAGGCTGGCTCAGTGCCAACACTGGTGGACGCTGGTGGGGTCTTCACAGGCTGTCCAGGCCCTCCAAGGAAGAGTTCAGCTGCTGCCGCCACGCTGCCCACAGCGCCCTCTGCTGGTCTCTGTACCCCTTGTCCCAGGCCCTGCTCCTCTGCTCCTTCCTGTGGAGGCTTTGCACTGTGGCTTTGTGCTACTCTGGGGCCATTCCCACCCGGCGGGGGAGCCTTAATAGTCAGGCAAAGGGTGTCCATCTCAAACGAGGGCCCACCCCACTGTATACCCTCCACAGTAAAGACAGGGCAGAGCCAAAGACCCAAGAAACTAAACTTCAAATCCTTAGGACAAGATACAGAATATAAATGGTAAAGTGTTAGCCTTGAGCACTAAAGCTCCAGGATAGTGCCCAGGCTCTGAGTTCATGCCTCGGGATGGCACACAAAAAAGGAAGAAAAAAGAGGGAGAGAAAAGAAAGGAAAAGAGAGAGAGAATCTTAGAATACTTTCAGGATTTTCTGTTGGATTTCTTTTTTGTCAGTCGTGGAGCTTGAACTCTGGGCCTGGGCGCTGTCCCTCAGCTCTTCAGCTCAAGGTGAGTGCTCTACCGCTTGAGCCACAGTGCCGCTCCCAGTTTTCTGGTGGTTTATTGGAGATAAGAGTCTCACAGACTTTCCTGCCTGGGCTGGCTTTGAACCTCCATCCTCAGATCTCAGCCTCCTGAGTAGCTAGAATTACAGGTGTGAGCCACTGGCGCCCGGCTGGATTTCTTGAGCTTCTTTTGCTCAAGGCTAGTGCTCTACCACTTGAGCCACAGCTCTACTTCTGGCTTGTTTTTGTTTTGTCTTTTTTTTTTTTTTTTTGGTAGTTTAGTGGAGATGCAAGCCTCATGGACTCTCCCGCCTGACTTCTAACTGTGATCCTCAGATCTCAGACTCCTGAGTGGCTAGGATTACAGGGGTGAGCCCACTGGTGCCTGGCCAGAAGGATTTCTTAAACAAGATACAAAATGTAAATGAAAAGGTGGGCAATTCTGACCACCTAGCTGAAGGATATTTTCGATGGAAAATGTCAAACTAAAAGCACTCACCTTTCCCTTCGACCGCCATATCTTAGCACTGCCCTCTCTGCAGACCTGCTGGATCGAATAGAATGATCTCCCTCCCTCCCCTGCCCTCCCCTCCCGGCACACCCTGCAGCTGCCAGCTGAGCGCCGTACTTGGTGTAGATGTGTCTGCTAAAAGCAGATGCTGTACTCCAGCCCCAGGACCCGGATGCAGGAAAACACAAGCCCCAGAAGCCCTCTCCTGTAACACAGGTAAGGTCCCATCTGCACCCTGCTGCCAGCTTGCCCCACTCCCGCGACAAGCTACCCCAGACCCTGCCTCAGCTGACCCTGCCTGCCTGTCTGCCTGTCTGTCTGCTTGTCTGCCTGCCTAGTGGAGACCTTAGCTGTAAGGGACCCAGAAGGCGGGTGGGGTCCCGCGAGACCGTCTCACCGCCCGCCTCCGGGACATTTCCTCCGCACTTCCTACCACCGCGGCTCAAGCAGAGGGCGGGCTCAGGCCGGACCCGCGGGCGCCCGGGGCCCCTCCCCGCGGTGAGACCTCGCCCCGCGCGTCTGCTCCCCGGCTGGCCCTCTGCCCCCGATGCCATCTGCCCCAGCGCCGTCTGGCCTTCGTCTGCTCCCCGCCCCCCCGTCTGGCCCTTGTCTGACCCCCCCCCCCCAGTCGTCTGCTCCTCGCCCCCCCCCCCCCCGTCTGGCCCTTGTCTGACCCCCCAGCCGTCTGCTCCTCTCCCCGCCCCCCCCCCCCCCCGTCTGGCCCTTGTCTGACCCCCCAGCCGTCTGCTCCCCCCCCCCCCCCCCCCGCCTGGCCCTTGTCTGACCCCCCCCAGCCGTCTGCTCCCCCCCCCCCCGTCTGGCCCTTGTCTGACCCCCCCAGCCGTCTGCTCCCCCCCCCCCCCCCCGTCTGGCCCTTGTCTGATCCCCCCCAGCCGTCTGCTCCCCCCCCCCATCTGGCCCTTGTCTGGCCCCCCCAGCCGTCTGCTCCCCCTCCCCCGTCTGGCCCCCCCAGCCGTCTGCTCCACCCCCCCCCCCCCCCGGTCTGGCCCTTGTCTGACCCCCCTCAGCCGTCTGCTCCCCCCCCCCCTCTGGTCCTTATCTGACCCCCCCAGCCGTCTGCTCCCCCCCCATCTGGCCCTTGTCTGACCCCCCCAGCCGTCTGCTCCCCCCCCCCCCGTCTGGCCCTTGTCTGACCCCCCCAGCCGTCTGCTCCCCCCCCCTCTGGCCCTTGTCTGACCCCCCCAGTCGTCTGCTCCTCTCTCCCCCCCACCCCCCCCCACCCCCCCCCCCCGTCTGGCCCTTGTCTGACCCCCCCCAGCCGTCTGCAGCCAGCCATTCGCCCTAGGACTGAGACATGTTCCAGCATGTTCTAAGAGGGGCCGGTCCCCGGGGACCCCCGCGGGGGCGGGGCAGGGCGTCCCCAGGGCCCTGGCGGTGGGGGACGGTCCCGGCCCTCCGGGCGCCCCGCCCCACCCCGTCCTGCCCCGGCCGCGCGCGCACCTGGATGATCTTCTCCGGGATGTTGGAGACGGTGAAGCCGTAGAGGCGCACGCGCTCGGGGAAGATGCTGGACAGGATCCGGCGGTCCAGCTGGAAGGCGATCTCCCCGACCAGCCGCTCCCAGGCCAGCTGCTTGGGCTCTGGGGGCGACAGGAGCCGCTGTGGGCGGGGGCGGCCGGGGGCCCCGCGGGCCGCGCGCTCGGCCCCGCGCTCACCTCGGGAGGCGTCGGGGAACCTGCCGGCCTTGCGGTGCGCCGCCTTCCGGTCCGGCTCCTGGACGGCCTTCCGCGGCGTCGGCTCCGTGGCGCGGGGCCCCCGGGCGTCGTTGACTGAAGCCGGAGAGGAGGAGGTGCGGGGCGGGGAGTGGGGGTTGCGCGGGGGGGTGCGGGGCGCGGGCCTGGCGCGTGCGGGGCGGTGCGCGCGGGGCGGCGCGGCCCGGGGGGACGGCGGGGGCGCGGGGGCCGGGGCCGGGGCGGCGCCCGCGGGGGAGGCCTGGCGGGGCGCGCCCACCCGCGCCGCGCTGAGCGGCTCTGGGTCCCGGGTCGGCCGGGGATCGCCGGACAGTGTGACTAGTGGCGTGGAGGGGCAGAAAGGAGAGGGTTACCGCGGGCGGGGCGCGGGGGTCCCCCGCCCGCGGGCCCCGGCCCCCGTTACCTTTGGGGGCGGCGAGCCCCGCGCTGGCCGAGGGGTGCGGCGCGGGGGGCGCGGCGCGGGGCGGCTCCGCCAGCCGCACGCGCGGGGCCTCGGGCGGCCCCGGGCCTCGGGCGGGCGCCCCGGGCGGCGGCGCGGCGGCGAGCAGCGGGGAGCTGAGCGACACGGCCACCGGCCCGGCCGCGGGCGCCACCAGCGGGTTGCTGAGCGACGCGGCCACCGACCCGGTGGCTGCGGCCAGGCCCAGCGCGCCGGGCAGCGCCGCCCCCGGGCCGGCCAGGAGCCCGGCGAACGGGCCGGCCTGCTGCACGGGCACCGGGCCGGCCAGCAGCGGGCCGAGCGGGCTGCCCAGGGCGCCCACGAGCGGCCCGGCCGAGGGGCCCGGCTGCGGGCCGCTCAGCATGTCGGCCAGCGCCACCACCCCCAGCTCCTCCAGGGCCGGCTCGGTCGCGGCCACGGCGGGCAGGAAGACACCTGGGGGGCAGAGAGCGCGCTGAGACGGGGCTGGGGGGAAACCCGGGGGAGGTCCTGGGGGAGACCCGGGGGAGGTCCTGGGGGGGCCCGAGGGAGGTCCTGGGGGGGCCCGAGGGAGGTCCTGGGGGAGACCCGGGGGAGGTCCTGGGGGAGGTCCTGAGGGAGACCTGGGGGAGACCCGGGGGAGGTCCTGGGGGGGACCCGGGGGAGGTCCTGGGGGGGCCCGGGGGAGGTCCTGGGGGAGACCGGGGGAGGTCCTGGGGGAGACCCGAGGGAGGTCCTGGGGGAGACCCGAGGGAGGTCCTGGGGGGGCCCGTGGGAGGTCCTGGGGGGAGACCCAGGGGAGGTCCTGGGGGAAGTCCTGGGGGAGACCCGGGGGAGGTCCTGGGGGGAACCCGGGGGAGGTCCTGGGGGAGGGCCTGGGGGGAGACCCGGGGGAGGTCCTGGGGGAGACCCGGGGGAGGTCCTGGAGAGGTCCTGGAGGAGACCCCGGGGGAGGTCCTAGGGGAGGTCTTGGGGGAGCAACCCGGGAGAGGTCCTGGGGGGGACCCGGGGAGACACGGGGTAGGTCCTGGGGGAGGTTCTGGGGGGGAGACCAGGGGGAAGCCCTGGGGGGGAGACCAGGGGAGGCCCTCGGGGAGCCAGCTGGGACCCCGGGGAGGCCCTGGCGCCCCGGCATAGCCTGGCCAAGGTCCTGATCTGCCTCTGACCTAACCCCTTGGGAGCCTTCCTTCTTAGGTGACGCCCCAGGAGACTTGAGCAGCTGAAGACTTGAAGATCTGCTGCTTCCACATCAGAGGGTGCAGGTGAGTCAGCCGCTGGGCCTCAGTTCCTAGTCTTTCCTCTCTGGGCTTTCCTCCTCTGTACCTGTGCTCTGGAACCCACCCTCAACTGAATCCCTGCGCTGAGCTGGAGGAGAGCTTAGTGGCTGGACTCTCAGGTGGCCAAGCTGGCAAGCAGAGTCTAGGCCTGGGACCATCATCCTGATGGTTCTACAAGGCAAGGTCCTCCCGAGAGGCCTGGGTCAGCAGGCAGAGCCTCGTGTGGTCCTGGACCGCACAGGCCACCTGACGGGGAAGGCAGGTGCATGAAGGCAGAGTGGACCCAGCCAGGCCCAGCCCGGGGCTGGGAGCCCCAGCCGTTCTCCATTCTCCATCAGCTCTGGAGAAGATGAACCACTGCTTTGGGGAGAAGCCCCTTGGAGGCACAATTGCTAGTGGGCCAGAGAGCAGGGAGAGTTTCTGTACTTGGGGAATCTCCTAAGTGGACATGCACATGCACTCGCGTGCGCATGCGCAAGCGCACAAACACACACACACACTCACTCCCTTCCCCTTTAATTTGTGGTGCTGGGGATAGCTCTCAGGGCCTTATGCATGAACCACACCTCCAATCCCTGGAAATTTCCAACTGGTTGTTACTGTTATAAAAGCAATAAGTATGTGGTTATAGCTGAGCGCAAATAGGGGATGAGCACAAATAATGCTGGGTACTAGTGGCTCACACCTGTAATCCTAGCTATACAGGAGGCTGAGATCTCAGAGCTGTGTTTCAAAGCCAGCCTGGGCAGGAAAGTCTGAGACTCTTGATCACCAATTAATTAAAAAAAGCTGGCAGCAGAGTTGTGTCTCAAGTAGAGCCACAACAGCTGAGGGACAGTACCTAGGCCATGAGTTCAAGCCTCAGGACCAGAAAAAGGAAAAAAAAAAAAGAGAGAATAAGAATTACTGGTAGACCTGGTCAGTCACTATCAGAAACTAAACCTTATTTCTTGGGAAATGTGCTTAACATGTTTACATAGATCAAGGATGGCGAGCATTTTCTGCAGAAGTTAAGGTGGTGAATACTTCCAGCTCTGCCAGCCATGTGGTCTCTTGTCACAATCTGCAATCCAAAGAAAGCAGTCAAAGAAAACTCAGCAGTGAATGACCAAGGATGATGTGTGACAATAAACCTTTATGGATCCATAGCTTTGTGTGTGTGTCTGTGTCTGTGTCCTGAACTCATGACCTAGTGTGATGATCCCCACCAAAAAAAATCAAGGTATCTGAATTACTATTCACTGGCAGAAAAGTTCCTTCTGTGGTTTAGTCTCAGTCCCTCCTGCTGCAGTAAACTTACTCTCTCCCCTGAGCCCCTTCCCTTGGAAAAGGAGGATATCCCTGGGCTGGGAAGGTGGCTCAGTGGTAGAGCGCTTGCCTTGCATGCATGAGGCCCTGGGTTGGATTCCTCAGCACCACATACGCAGAAAAAGCTGGAAGTGGTTCAAGTGGTAGTGCGCTAGCCTTGAGCTGAAGAGCTGAGGGACAGCACCCAAACCCAGAGTTCAAGCCCCACAACCGGCAAAAAAAAAAAAAAAGATATCCGTGGGAACAAAAATTTGAAATCAGAAAACAGAACAAAATCATTGATAAAGGGCAAAACCTCTTGGTAAAGAAAAACTCCAGGGCTGGGAAGGTGGCTCAGTGGTAGAGCACTTGCCTTGCATGCATGAGGCCCTGGGTTGGATTCCTCAGCACCACATAAGCAGAAAAAAAAAAAAAAAACCTGGAAGTGGCGCTGTGGCTCAAGTGGTGGAGAGTTAGCCTTGAGCTGAAGAGCTGAGGGACAGCGCCCAGGCCCAGAGTTCAGGCCCATGACTGGACTGCCTCCCCCCCAAAAAGAAAAAACAAAACTCCAAGGTAAGGCTAACTTAGTCCCTTTCCATCCTTGCTAAAAAGCAGAACATCTCTCCCCCTCTCAGGTTTCCCAGGCTGGCAGCTTTGCAGTTTATCACAAACATTGCTGAAGCCACCGACAACCTTGGGGCTTCTCACCAGCTGTTGCTGCATTAGCCAGGAGCTTACAATAAACATCATTTCTGTAAGGGAAATTTCAGTGCACCCCCCCACGCATGGGAATGAGTTTCTAATGTTTTGAGATTTAAAATATACTATTTCTTCCCAAGGTTAAGTTTTGACTTCTGTAAGCCAAGGGGTTGTTTTGACTTTGTCTAATAATGTCAATATCAATAGTATCGATCATGCTGCCCAAGTCAAGATTATGTTTTGCCTGTGCTCTTGTGACTCAAGGCTGTTTTGCATCTGTAACCTTGCTTGCTTGCTCTGGGAAACATCACCGATGTGAACCCTTTCCTATAAAAATCCCCCATGAAAAGCAAATAGGGCTGTTCTCCGAAGCCCTGCGAGCTGGGGACAGACACCATGTGGCTAATAAAAGGTTTCCAAGTCAAGCACTGGTGGCTCACGCCTGTAATCCTATAGCTACTCAGCAGGCTGACATCGAGGATCACAGTTCAATGCCAGCCCAGGCAAGAAAGTCCGTGAGACTCTTATCTCCAATTAATCACCAGAAAACTGAAAGTGGTGCTGTGTGGCTCAAGTGGTAGAGCACTCGTCTTGAGCTGAAGAGCCATGACCAACAACAACAAAAAAGGCTTCCAGCCACAATGACTGAGTGCTGGTGACTCCTTTTGCCAATTGTTGGTTCGAGTCCCACTGGCCCCGGGAAGTTGGGATACTTCACTAGCCACTGTTCCTAAGCTTTTCCACCCAAAGTTGGTGTTCTTCCTCTTGAGCCACAGCTCCACATCTAGCTTTATGCTGGTACCGAGATCCTCAGATTTCAGCCTCCTGAGTAGGATTACAGCACCCAGCAGGCACACAGGGGTGGCTGTATTGGAAATGTGGATAAAATGGATTGATGCTCCAACTTGTCTATGATTTGTATTTAGCTGAAAATCTTGCTGGGTTTGAGCACAGCACTGGAGCCTGTCATGTGCACCCACGCGTTCAATTGTTAGGGTCCAGGAGTAGGTCTGTGACATCACACCGCTGAGGGCAAGAAGCAAACGTGAGGTCTTAGATGTGTGACTGCTGCTGTACCGCCAGGGAGAACTCCAGCCACACCCGGCTTCTCAGGGCCAGCCTAGGTGGGGGGGCTGGGGTGGGGCCAGACACTGCCGTGCAGGCGGGGCACAGGCCGGGGCGGGGCGCTGGGGGCGGGGCCGTCCCAGGACGTGGGGCGGGGCTCTGGGGAACGGGTCTGCCAGAGGGGGCGGGGCTCTGGGGGCCGGGTCTGCCAGGGAGGGGGCGGGGCTCTGGGGCAGGGCCGTACGGGGGAGGGGGCGGGGCTCTGGGGGCCGGGTCTGCCAGGGAGGGGGCGGGGCTCTGGGGCAGGGCCGTACGGGGGAGGGGGCGGGGCTCTGGGGGCCGGGTCTGCCAGGGAGGGGGCGGGGCTCTGGGGGCCGGGTCTGCCAGGGAGGGGGCGGGGCTCTGGGGGCCGGGTCTGCCAGGGAGGGGGCGGGGCCCTGGGGCAGGGCCGTACCGGGGAGGGGGCGGGGCCCTGGGGCAGGGCCTGTGCTAGGACGCCTGGGGCATGTTTCCGGGGTGGGGCCTGTGCAAGGATGCGCAAGGTGTTTCCGGGGCGGGGCCTGGGGCTGGAGCGCGGTTTAGAAGCGGGCTGTCCGTGAGTAAGGGCTGTTCCCACTCTCACTCCAGCTGGCCAGTGGAGAATGAGGACGGGTCTCCAGGGCAAGAAGAGGATTCGGAGGGAGGAGGCTCTGAGGGAGGAGGAGGCTGAGGGAGGAGGAGGCTGAGGGAGGAGGAGGTCCTGAGGGAGGAGGAGGCTGAGGGAGGAGGAGGTCCTGAGGGAGGAGGAGGCTGAGGGAGGAGGAGGCTGAGGGAGGAGGAGGTCCTGAGGGAGGAGGAGGCTGAGGGAGGAGGAGGCTAAGGGAGGAGGAGGTCCTGAGGGAGGAGGAGGTCCTGAGGGAGGAGGAGGCTGAGGGAGGAGGAGGTCCTGAGGGAGGAGGAGGCTGAGGGAGGAGGAGGCTGAGGGAGGAGGAGGCTGAGGGAGGAGGAGGCTGAGGGAGGAGGAGGTCCTGAGGGAGGAGGAGGTCCTGAGGGAGGAGGAGGCTGAGGGAGGAGGAGGCTGAGGGAGGAGGTCGTGAGGGAGGAGGAGGCTGAGGGAGGAGGAGGCTGAGGGAGGAGGAGGTCCTGAGG